AGATCTCCCAAAACACAGGAGTAGGGTATTACGCTTCTCAGCAGCCCGAACCTGTATACACCGCCCGTGTCTTGTGTGTTTCCTGTCTCGCGAACCTTCCACATACAGAGAGCTTAGAATCTCACCCTGAGTCCCCGGCCGAACCGGCAAAGGGGGGCCTGCGCGGTCTCCCGGTGAGGAGCCCCGCGCTCCGTCAAACTTATATCCTCATATGCTCTGAACGTATTGTTAACAGCAGCAAGAGGAGTTCTGGCGTTCCCGAGGTATTTAAGGGGAACTGATTGTATGACACCACGTCATCTCGATCAGGTTTTAGAAATATACCATATAATTTATACTCGAGTATCACAAACCATTTACCTGTACATGGTAATGGTTAAAAGTTGCCCTTCGTGGCTATAGTTGCCTCCTGCGCAAGGACTTAAAAATAAGAACCACTATACAGAGATGCCATATTGCTAATTAACATAATAACTAGGTCTGTCCCCATTCTAGAAACCGAGGTCGTACCCGTTCGTTCGACATAAGTACCTGGTAATAACTATATCAATCGAGACAGTACTAGCCACCCGAAAATCAACCAAACCTTACGTACTGTCCCAATCTAAGTATAAGGTATTTTAACCAGATTGTAAGCAAAGTAAGCAATACTAAATTATCTGGGTTTCTATGGTTGAATTATGCATATAAAATAGAATATTGAATAGAAGGCTATAAATAAATAATTTATAAAATATAGGCTTAAATGATCAAAAGGTATATGGTAACTTGCCTTGCTCGATGTCCTGAGATTGATTGCTATTATCTAGTGTGTCAGAAGATTCCTCAAGATCTAGGGTTAAACATATAAAATTCAAATTCAAAAGGAATTCAAATAAAATCCAAAAATAAGAAAAATAGAGAAAATAAAATAAAATAGAAAAATAACAAAAGGGGTCTCAAAAGATAGAGAATGATTTTAGAAGAATATTGGTCCAAGTTTCACTGGAATTGGATCTATATTTTAAAAGATATGGGCTTCTAAAGTTTGAAAATCAATTAAATGTGAAATGGCATTGTGTGCGGGTCCCACCTGTCAGTCTCTCTCTCTCTCTTTTCTTCTTCTACCTCCAGCCGTTCCCCAAATGCGACCGGCGGCGCTAGGGTTGGCGATTGCGGCGGCAATGGAGGAGAAAAGGGGTTGCGGCTGAGGAGGGGAGGGAGCTAGGGTTCTCCGGCGACGGCGCGTGGCGGCGGAGGGGTTAATTTGGTGCGTAGGTGGGCTGGCGGCTAGGGCGGCGGTGATATGGTTAAGCCGTGAAGGTGATCGAAATGATGTGAGTTAGACATGGCTCGGGGAGGGATTCTAGAGCATCTACGGAGTGCCTAGATGGATTCCGACAGCTTGCCGACCTTTGGCAAGGCGCGGAGAATACCTGCCGACGAGCGCCTCCACTGGCGGCGGCCGTGCTCACGTCGGCAGCCCAGAGGGTGGCAAGATAGTGCAAAGTGATTGCTAAAATGGAATCTAGGGAGTACATAGATGGTTAAAACGGAAGAACTCACCGATATCGGTTGAAACGATGGGTTGCAGCCGGAAAAACTTCGCGGCCGCGAAGAACAGAGCAGCGTGGGGACGGCGGTGCTCGGCTTGGTGCGGCGAGGTAAAACTCGACACAGGGCTTCGGTTAGAGTCTACTATGCTAGAACATGGTTGATATAAGGTGTTCTAAGGGGTATTTAGGATGGAGGATGGATGGAGGGGTGTGGAGTCGATCGCGCACAAGGTGTTCGACCGACGGGCGAGAGTGGTTGATGAGATGGATTGCTGAAGCAGAGCTTCGGAGTTGTGGGGCTATAGTTGTTGATGATCGATGATGGACAAAGAAGGGATTGGGGTCCTATTTATAGGGCCAGGAGGAGTGGATGAGCTCGGACGCCATCATCGCCATGGATGAGCTCGGGAATTGGATATGGCTGGGGCGGCAGAGGCTGTGAGAGGGTGGCCAAGGTCAATTTGAGTGGCGGGAGGCCATGCTTGAATACTTACTGGCGAAGGATTGGCTTGACCGCGAGTAGAAACGGCTGGCGACGTGTTGGCGCCATTCCGGGCGCGACGCGCGGCGGCGGCGAGGGTGAAAACGGCCGGCTCGGGGATGAATGGTTTGAATTATGAGAGGGGAAACCACCGTCTAACTTTAATCCAACCATGTGGCAAGAATTGGCGCGATTCACCTAGGGTAGAAGCGAAATCGCACTCGGCGGCGACTTTGGATGGGAGCGCACGGCGTCGAGTGGCGATTTCTTGCGGCGGAGGTCGCCCCGGCTTTGTAGTCGTCAAGATTGGTGTGGCGGCGGCGGCCTGAGGGCGTCGGACGGGCGACGACGCACTAAGGCAGTCGGGCACGCGCGAGCGGTCCCGAGGCCGATGCGCGGCGGCTCGGCGCGCGGCAAAGTCGAACGCCAGGCAGCGCGCGAGAAGGGGAGGAGAAGGCCAATTAAACCACGGTTTTTGAGTGGGATGTGGTCCCCAAGGATCCAACATAGACTTTGCAAAAGATTGGTAGAGATTGGGCTGAGTTAGCTGGGCTAGGCATTTCATCGAGCACCTTGTGTGCGATGAACAGTGAAATTCAAGAATTTTGAATATTTTCCTAGAGAAGATTTGAATTTAAACTATGAATTTGGAAATGTTTCACTAAGGTTTGGAGTATAGCAAATCCTTACTAATATTAGGGTAAACTAAGGAAATAATCTAAAGTTTGAAATTTGAGAGAATTTGCTCAAATTCACTAAGGTTTGGAATAAAGGGAATAATTAGGGTAAATTAGTAGAGTTCTAAGGAAGTAACACTTGAACCAATTAAGAATCAAATAGATTTTTAAAACACACTAATTTAATTAAAAGTCAGCATGATGCAGTCAAATTTTAGTTTAAAATTTGAGGATGTTACATAAACTGCACGTCTGTATATAAGTTGCTTTAAAGTATAAAGTATATCTATATGTTAAGTTTGTAATAATTAAAACTTAATTAATCACGTGCTAATGATTTTCTTGTTTTACATATATCAACTTAATCTTCATTTTTCATCAGTTTCTCCAAACGTGCATGCATGCAACGACAAGAATCAAGGACATCGTCCTCCTGCCAAGTTGAAATATGTTACCCTTAAATGAGGCGCTTAACCTACTTTTTTTTCCTTGGAGGTAAAACAACAAATCAGCGTAGAGAAATCACTTGACATTAATGTAGGGGTACATGCGGGCAGACCCGTGAGTTTAAATAAATAATAATTTATAGGTTTTCGTGTTGCGACCCGGCTTGCCGTCTCTAAATATACAAGTGGATCGATCTATAAACCCATTTATAAGTCAAACTCATAGTTAACCCGCTAGTCATACCGGCAGGTTACGTACTATTTTTTTTTTTTTTGCCTATAAGCGGGTTCGCGGGTAAACCCACTTGCACCCCTACATTAATGGGTGGTGTATGTGGAGCGTGGGCAACTGCCAGCCCTAGCGGGTGGTGAATCAGCTAATAAACGAAATACTGACCCCAACTTGAGAAAGAACAAAATTTTCTATACATATATCTACGGATTATCACGATTACACTTCCTAAACTTTTAAACAATATACTCCTACATTGTTTTTGACAAAAACTTTCTTCACCGGTGTTTTTTTAAAAAAAAAACTTTTTAAAATCGCCTTATCAACTCTAATTTGTATTATTTAATGCAACAATTTGCACTCGGATAATGACTATAACCTCAATTTTATCCATTTTGTGTAATCTGTTGAGGACGCAACCATATATAATTGCCAACATGAAACTCATTAACTAGAAAATATCCTTCAAATAATCCACATAAGTTCCATCCAAGTCGGGTCTTTCACTGCAGCAAAGCAACACATAATGTTCCCTTAACTGTAGCATGTCAAGTAGCAGAAGAAAACAAACGGTGCATCCAAAGTTACACTTTTGTGACCTCGGTGAGTTTTGTTTTAAAATATTAACAATATCGTTGAAATGGATTATTTGCTTCACATTTTAAAAAATATTTTTTTTGAAAAACTTTCTTTTACTTATATTGTTTAGACCACTTATTTTAAATTATTTATCAACCTTCTTGTATTATTTTAAATTATTTACTTTTTATAAATCACACCGTTTAGCAGTTTGAAAAGCTTGCACGCGAAAAACGAGATAGGTGGGTTGGGAAAATGGGAGAATAACACAACCCAAGTGAGCACTAGCTTTATATTACCCGCGTCCTAAAAAGATTACAGTTTTTTACTGTTCATATCCAATGTTTAACCATCCGTCTTATCTAAAATTTTTTATGATTAGTATTTTTATTGTTATTAGACTATAAAACATGAATAATAATTTATGTGTGACTAATTTTTTTATAAAATTTTTAAATAAAACAGACGGTCAAAAGTCTTACAACTGTACTTGAAATAGGACGGATGTAGTAGAAATAAAATATAATAATTAGAAAGAAAAAAGAGAAGAGAACCTTGTTCCCCTCCCTTCCTGCTGGGTGCTGGGCTGCTGGCTGCCTCTCCTACAGAAGACAGAGCGAGCCAGCGAGGTGGTGTCCGTTTCAGACCAAAACCCGGAAACTATTCTAATCCCTCGAGGGGATGTTCTCTTGTTTGCTCAAAAACCATCTAAACGGTTATGAAAAATTCTGAAAAAATTTGACAACATTCATACAACACATATATACAACTCCACAAAATCTTAACTCCAAACTCAACTCACACGACGAGATATAAAAAAGACAAATTCAGCATATGAATAGTAGCGTACTGTTTATATCTAAATTTGTCTTTTTGTTTCTCGATGTGTAGATCGAATTTGAATATGAATTTTGGTGGACTAGTAGGTATCATTATACTCTATATTATCAATTTTTTTCAGAATTTTTCACAACTATTTGCATCGAATTTGGAAGAAAAAGGTATACGAGGGATATCCCCTCGAGGGATTAGAGGGATATCCCTTCGAGGGATTAGAATCCACTCCCCCAAAACCACCCTCCTTTCTTTCTCCTCACTCACCAATGGCGTCGGAAACCCTCCTTCCGCCACCGACGACGACGGTCGCCGCCCTCACCGACGACACCCTACTCGACATCCTCCGCCGCCTCGCCCCCGCCGACCTCCTCCGCGCCGCCCTCGTCTGCCACCGCTGGCGCCGCGCCGCCGCACGCTGCGTCATGGCCGCGCCTCCCCCACTCCTCGGCTACTTCTTCCACCCCGCCGACACGCCCCTCACGGCGCACATCGTCGCGCCCATCGCCGCCCTCCACCCCGCCGCCTTCGTCCCCCTCGACTCCTCCTCCCCCTCCTCCCCGCGCCTCTCCCTCGACGGGACCAAGGGCTTCACCATCTACGACGTCCACCTCGGCCTCGTGCTCCTCCTCCCGGCGTCGCTCCCCTCCGGTGTCCTCCCCCGCATCCTCGTCCTCGACCCTGCCTCCCGCCGCCGCGCGCTGCTCCCGCAGCCCCCGCGCGACGCGCTGCCGGGCGACCGCTGGCGTGGCCTTCGGCACATAATCGGCGCCGCCGTGCTCTCGCGCTCCCACCCGAGCAGGCTCTGCTTCGACGCCGTCTGCCTCACCGTCGACGACGAGAACCCGCGCGCCTGGGTCGCCTCCTACCGCGACGGCGAGTGCAGCTGGAGGGCGCTCCCGCAGGACACCGGAGTCACGGTCGCGTTCGACCCCTTCTGGTTCGAGGGCCGCTGCGTGCACGCCGCGGGGGACATCTACTGGCACATCTGCAACTCCGGCCGCCTGCTCAAGCTCGACCCTACCACGCTCTCCTTCTCCTACCTGCTGGCGCCGTCCGAGCTGGGGGACAGGAACAAGAAGTTTCGAATCGGGGAGGCGCCGGAGGACGGGAGGCTCGGCATGGCGGCCATGGAGGACCAGGAGATGCAGTTCTGGGTGCGCGGGGAGGCAAGCGGGAGCGACAACGGCTGGTTCCTGCAGAAGAGGATGAACATGCGCAAGGTGTTCGACACCGTGCCCGGGCTGCCCAGGGACAAGTTGAGCCGGACCGTGTCCATCTGGCTCAGCGACATCGACGCGGGCCGCACAGGGAAGCTATTCTTCGAAACAGAGGGGTATGGGCGCTACTCCTTCCATATGGACACAGGCAAGCTGGAGCGCTTGGCCACTGAAGATGGAAAGGAGTATGGCCACCCCATCTATGCCTACTTCATGGCCTGGCCTCCTGCCTTCCTAGCTCCAGAAAAATCTGAATTTCCGGTAAATGCAAAAACCTTCACCGATCTTATCATTTTTGCTTATGCCGAATTGCTTGATCAATGCTTGAGTGGATTGCTTCTTTATGTCGTTTGTTGCCTGTCTGTTACATACTTACATGTGCATTAGGTTGATAAGATCTAGGGTCAGATTCTCAGATGTATTTCTAGATAAGGAAGATGATTACATCCCCGGCCTCTGCATTGAGGATGCACATAGCGAGAATCACAAGTTTTGTATTACAATTTGTAAGGTTGTAGTGATCGACAAACTAGCTGATCAAGTGTTGCAATCATGTTGAAAGCCGTAAGGTATCGTAAGCAATCTTTGCAACTAGAATTATGTCTTAGTGCTGATAAAACTGCTGTTCTTGAATCCTGCTGTTTCGAAGTAATTTGAGATAATAGATGCGTAGGTAAAAGAGTATACTTCTGTCCTTTTATTTCTCTGGGTTCACACACATGTTTATGATTTTTCCTTTGCTCACTATATATGATCTATCCTGATCATTTTGTTCGTGCCAGTTTTGTGTATGTCATGTTTCCTTTTTCCATTTGTCTATTCGGGCACCTCAATAGTATTTGCATTAGCTTTGGTATGCTAATATTGAACTTTGAAGTCAAAAGTTTATCCAATTATTTTTTTTAATTTATAATGCTGACTTTTTTGTTTATGAAATGTTCAATTTCGCGCTTAGTCCGATCATTCTTCTATGTGTTTGCCCTTAGTAGCTTGGCATGCGCACGAGCTTTATTAGGCTATTTAACTTGAGAAAAGACGAATTGCAGATGTATATTTATTCATTTTAGGATTTGTTATGGAGTTACTAGCCAGTTTTAGAACGTTAAAATTAGCAGACTGCACGGTAAATGATTTGTTATATTAGTTCCAAGCACAAACCACAAAATGAAGTTTGGTGATTCTAGCATTCTACATTTTGTGCATCATATGAGTATATGACCTTCAATTGCATTGGTAATATGAGTTATAGTTAGGGCACACTTACAAATTTTTGCTGGTTTATATTTCTTTGAATCAATAAATCTATTTAGATTTGGATTTTGTTTGAGAAGATGAGTTTTCTGCTGACTATAGGTACTTTATTGGCTTTTAGAGGTTGTTTCAATCTTTTAGTTTTACAATTAGAGTTTGTTTGGTTTATTTCTTGTTTTTTTTTTTTTTTGAGTTTTGTGGAGTTAATAGGGGCTTTGTTTGCTAGTGGGCAGCTTTAGCTTATTCCCATTGATACTTATTACCCTAAGAGCTTAAACATCAGATAATCAAAATGTAACAAATTATTGCATTGCATTGTCCAACCTGTATTTTTATCGCCGTAGTTTTGATGCATAATAATATGTGTGATTCTGTATCTCATATGTGTGAAATATGTCAACTAGTAGTACTCAATCTGTTAGTAAGCACGTGGTCGCAACTTGTATGTTGGCCATGCTATTACAACACACGCACACCTTCTATTATTCATGGGATTGTCATCTTGGATTCTTGATATATAAGATGAGAAGTATATGTGATTGATATTTATATTTTGACTTATCATAATGTTTCTCAATAAGTTGAATGAAGGATTTCATGCTAGCTATCTGTAAATAAATTTTAGGACCGATGACCATTAGGAGGCAAACCATTTTTGCCCAGCTTTTGTCCCTTTTGTGGAGCCCCGTACAGCAAATTAGTTTAGCAGGTCTTTGAAGTCACAAAGAGAATGGTCTACAGAGCCCACAACTTATTTGACTCTTACCGAGTCTTAAATGTTAGCTGGTTATTGTGGCATTGGTTATTACAGGAATCAGATTTATCTTTGCAACTGATTAGGAACAATGCAACACTGTCTAGTATTTTGTTAATTCGGTCAATTTGAAGATAATAAATATAGAAGAATATGATATTATTTGCTGTTATAGACTTTTATATAGCAGTTCACCACTGTTTTACTTGTTGCTCAGTGCTCAATCTTCACTGTTAAAACAATTGTTGGCTGTCAGTACAATAACTTCTTTTTTGTTCTGGGACGTCAAATTTTGCAATTCGCCCTCGTTTGATGCTTTCTATTTTACTACTGAACTTTTACGTTCTTGTAAGCTTCCGTCAAGAAATGGCTCATGTTACGCCCTCATATGGAAGCATAATAAATTATAGTCATGGGCTTAACTAATGTTCTTTTACATGTTAGTGTGATTTATCTCTTGTTATGTAGTACTTGCAAACACCCTATTCATTTGATTCATCGACAGTACTGGGATCTATACTGATGATTCTGCCGTTCTTGTGATTTAGGGTGGTGACCACTGAGACTACGTTATCATCCAGCTCACTCCCTTCCATTTCTGGATCACCAAAATTCCATGCCTCGTTCACTCATCAATCTACTGAGCATAGTGGGAAGTTATGAGTAGTTTTGTTGTTCTGCATGAGACTATCTAATTCCTATCAGTTCTGTTGCAGTCATTCAAGCATACTTTTAACTAGATTAAGAAAGTGGGATGACATTGCACATTGTGCTGGGTAAGTTTGGCAAATTGTGGTTTGAAATCTGATATTATTCTACCCTACCTTGATTCGTATAGTTTCATCCTGCCTTGGTTAATTCCATATTTGTGTGCCATGCCATGGTGAAATAACTTAAATTTGCATGGAGCAATAGATAGTTGAGCATGTTGAATTTGCTTGGTTAAGCTATTGGTCTTGATCAGATTTTGTGTTGCCAACGAGAAAGTTACGTGCATCTTGCAAACCACTTAATGTAGCACTAGCATCAAAACTGCAGGTATCAAGTTCAAACCAATTGTGTAGTAGCATAATCAAAACTGACTTTCACAGGTTCTAGTTAGTTGTATGATTTACTATGAAAATGACGGTCAGACACAATTCCCCCTTGCATACTCCACGTGTGAAGGGCTCAAAGTCATCGTTAACTTTGGCAAAGCTCAAAGTAGTACTGTAGTAGCTACAATGTGCCACAGGACTCATGAAATGTGCCCGGATTTTTTGTTTTTAAAAACGAACGGATATATGTATCACCATCAACCTTGCAGCAATAATAGCTGTAGCCTGTACCTGTAGCTGGGACAAAGCTGCAGTGCTGCAACAGTGGGGCACGTGCCGTCTGCAATGGAGCTGCAATGCGTGAACCTATTATTGTTGATGGAAATTGGAACAGCAGCTGCTCTGCTACCGATAAAAGCCCGGCTGCCCGGGAGCACAGGAGTTCTCTTGACTGTCTCCATGCTTCACGACAGGACAGCAGCAGGTGAGCTCCGTGATGTGCGTAATACCCAAATGAATTAGGCCCTGGGTGGGTTTAGTACGTGAAAAGAAAATTTTTTGGGAGTTACATCGGATATTTGATCGAATGTCAGGAGGTTTTTGGACACGAATAAAAAAACTAATTTCATAACTTGTCCAGAAACCGCGAGACAGATCTTTTGAGCTTAATTAAGCTATCATTAGCACATGCAGATTACTGTAGCACTTATGGCTAATCATGAACTAATTATACTCAAAAGATTTGTCTCGCGATTTTCATGCAAACTGTGCAATTAGTTTTTGTTTTTATCTATATTTAATGCTCCATACACATGTCCAAAATTCATGTGACGTTTTGGCGAAAAAAAATTTGGGAACTAAACCAGCCCCTGTTTAGTTTCCACGTAAAAATTTTACACCCTATCACATCAAACGATGGAACACCTGCATAAAGTATTAAATATAGACTTAAAAAAACTAATTGCACAGATTACGACTAATTTGCGAGACGAATCTTTTAAGCCTAATTGTCCCATGTTTTGACAATGTGGTGTTATAGTAAACAATTGCTAATAGGGGCAATTGCATCAGTGCCCTCATTTTCAAAGCTAATTTCTGTTTTACCTCCACTTTTTAGGGTTTGCGGTTTTACCCTCACTTTTTTGAATCTGAAGCAGCTGTGTACCCCCACTTCAAACAACCTGTTTTAATGGTGTTAGTTGTAGAGAAAAGGACATTTATATCCTCGATGGTTATTGTATTTTTGCCCCTATTTTTTCCAGCTTTGTGTGATTTTGCCTCTATTTTGTGCTAGGAAGGTTTCAGGGATGTGTGGAAGATTTAACTCATGTTCTGTAGTCATCATTAAGGTCATGATGCTACACAAAGCATTTCCAGCGCTATATAAAATCATTAAGGTCACTCCAATAAAATGCAGCTACCATCCTGAAGAGAATAAGAATCACCTTTGTCATATGCAGCTACCATTCTGATGATCTCTGGGCACAACCACAACCAATTCTTTCCATCAATCACCTCCAATGTTTGTCGGCAGAAACTATAGCCCAATTTTTAGTATTTTCATCCCCCTAAAATGATTCCTTGATGCAAACAAGGCTAAGATATTCAGTGTAGCTCAAAACTTGGACTAAAGCAGTGTTAAAATCTTATTGCTGAATATTAAGCAAATCTGCAAAATAGCGGTCTGCAACTTGACAATGCTCATGACTTGAAATACAGAAAAAGAGATCGCTTCACTAAGCCACGGATGGCCAAAAAGGGATAAAATAAAATTCTAACATTCAGCAATAGTTAAACAACGAGAAGGAGTACACGCCGTTGTCCCCCTAGCAGGCAGCAACCAAGCTCCTTGCAGAGGCTGCAGCAATGCGATTCGCTGCTTGCCGGTGCTGCTCCGAGTCGCCTCGCGCGCCCCCACGGCCGCCGCCTCCGCGCCGCGCGCGCGCCCTGGTCGCCGCCACCACGCCGCACGCCCTTGCCGCCGCCTCCGCGCCGTGCCGCCCTCGCCGCCCTTGCCGCTGCCTCCGCCGGCCGTGGGAGACTCACTCAGCTGGTTAAGAATTTTTTTTGAAAATAATATTATTTTAATGGAAAATCGCAAAATTATAGGTCGGCTAGACGAAATCGCAAGTTTAGCGCCCTGTCGAACTGGGGCAGTTCGACAGGTACCCCTGTCGAACTGGGGCAGTTCGACAGGGTACTGTCGAACTGGGGCAGTTCGACAGGCTAGTTGTCCAAGAAAAAAAATAAAAAAGTACTTGCTACAGTGCCCGATAGGGACGTATCGAACAGGGGGAGTTCGATAGGGCGCGTGGCATGGACGTATCGAACAGCGGAAGTTCGATAGGCAGTGTCGCTACAGTGCCGCTACAGTGTGCGCTACAGTGCGCTACAGTGTTTTTCCTTTTTTTTAAGTTATTTTATTACCTGTCGAACTGGGGCAGTTCGACAGGTACCCTTTCGAACTGGGGCAGTTCGACAGGTACCCTTTCGAACTGCCTCCGTTCGACAGGGTGCTAAACTTGCGATTTCGTCTAACTGACCTATAATTTTGCGATTTTCTATTAAAATAATATTATTTCCAAAAAAAACTCGCTGGTTAACCATATCCATTCCCTCAGGGATACAAAGGTAATTTCACAATTCCTAAAACCTTTTTTTTATTTTCTTTTGTATTTCTTTAACACACAACGTCGGACCCACCAAACGGCTGTCCTAAGTGAGGGTAGACGACTACTTTAGATTAAAAAGTGGTGGTAAAACTGCAAACCCTAAAAAGTGAGGGTAAAACGGCAATTGGCTTTCAAAATGAGGGCACATATGCAATTGTCCCTTGCTAATAACGAATTAATTAGGCCTAATAAATTCGTCTCGCGGTTTACTGATGAATTTTGTAATTAGTTTTTTATTACTGCCCGAATACCCCATGTGACACTCTATATAATACCCGATGTGACACGCCAAAACTTTACACCCCTGAATCTAAACCCCCTTGGCCCCTTTGGAGATAGAGTCCGATAAAGATTTAATTAAAACGAGAAAGCGTATAATTATTATAAATTTTTAAAAATTGATTTATTTAATATTTTAAAGCAACTTTTATATATAAAGTTTTCACATTTAGCCGTTTAAAGACGCGCTAACGAAAACTAAGGTATAATACTAATCTGAAAAACAAGACATCGAGAATTTTAGTCATAAGTTTGCTTAGCAACACTTACTAACCGAATTAGTTCGAGCCATAGGTCTCAACTAACTAAATTGACTAAAATATAGCCTAATAGTTCAATAAACTCGAAAGATCCGATCTACAACAATAGACCCTGTACATCATCATCATGCTTCCCACCTCATTCGGGATGCAAGTGGACAGCCCTATTACCCGTATAAAATATGCTTGCTAATTCATTTTCTATATGATGATAAACTTTGAAAGAGAAAAAACTGGTAGTACGATATAAGCGTGTAAAAAAAAAATCACTTGCTCACCCCATTTGCATCCCTACACCTCACCTAGGCACACCACATACATGCGTACTCACGTAGCCGTGGCTACAACCTCCTCCTATGTCACCCCACCCTAACTAGGCGACTACTTCCTCTATTCTGGACGCCTGCCATCGCTCATTGCATGATGCCCTCGTTTGCACCGCATTGCCTCCTCCTCCACACCCCCCTCGCCCCTACACAAAACAACGCCCCGCATCATCCTCTTCCCAACACACCCCAAAACAAAGGGTGTCTTTTTCCTGTTATTTTTTTTTACATTTTAGACCTTTTTGTAAATTTATTTTTATACTTAAAATACTTATTCCGGAAATGGGTCCTTTTCGCTACGCTAATATCATAGGTGTCGTGGTCCAACAAGACGGCGCCAATGATATTAACATCATCCCCCTAGACTTCCTGTACATGCTAAGTCACTTATATGAAGGGGGGACGACACCAATATCATTGACGTCAAGAACCAATTGTAAAAAAAAAAAACTTGACATATTTATAATTTTTTTATTACAAATGAATCTTGTTTTTGAATTTATTTTTTTATTAATAGGTCCTCGACGCCGTTCCCCGTGACGCCAATATCGTTGACGCCATCTTGTTGGACCATAGCACCAATGATGTTGGTGTCGTGAAAATGGTTCATTACAAGAATAAGTTTTTTTTAGATCTGTTTGTAAAATAAGTTTTCACAAGAGATAAAAAAAGTGAAAAATCCGGTGCCATCTTCTCTAGTTTAGTTTGAGTAATTTTTTGATCTCCTGACAAATTGAAATATCTGAAACCATATCGTGTAGTCTTAGTAGTATTTGGCAATGCGCAATTCGATTTCCAATCTATCTATCTAAATAACCGAAAGTAGTAAACTTTCTTGCAAGATTACTGCGCCACGTCATTCATCAAATATGGACCGTCTGATATTTACTATAGATATTCCGGGCCGTTAGATCTTTTTGATTGGCGAACTATGTTTTTGATCCTTGAAGAAACTTATTTTACATCAAGGTCCTTCCACATCCTAGTAAAAAAAAATCACAATCTTATTTTGTCAGGCCTCCGCACGCTCCTCCGGTGAGGCCGAGGCATCTGCCGACTCCTCCAGCGCAAGCGCCGCACCTCCCTGTTGCTTCTCTACCGCCGCCTCCTCCTCTCCCTCCCTATAGTCCCTTCGTGAGCGCCACCTCGCCCAGCCCGCATCGCGACTCTGCCGGGACAACGCGCTCCGCCCCCAAATTCCACGCGCCGCCGAATTCCATGCGCTGCCGCACCGAATCCGAAGACGGCCGCCCTCTTTTCCCCATCCTGAAGCCTAGCCGCATGCTGCCTTTGCTCGCTGCCGTCGTGCCGCAGCGCTGCCTGGTTCTTCATGAGAGAGAGAGAGAGAGCGAGAGAGGAGGGAGGGAGGGAGGGAGAGGAGAGGTGCTCCTCCTTGGCGGCTCCCATTCCGTTTCGACAGCGCCGGAGCCTCCCTCATAGATGAAAATTCACCTTAAAATTATTGGATTGTTGGATTCTATTTTTATCTATCTATTTGCATATATGAAAATTGTATGTCGTATGCATATCATAAATCCACATTACTGGTTAACCTATTCATAAGCCCAAAAATAATAATGATTTCTTGCAACTGTGCTTTTGTAATAATAATCCTTTCCCAAATGCAGATGAGCAATGAATAAGAATTTGGGTCAATCAATTGCACACCTCAAAGAAGTTTTAAGGAGCTAGAAAGGATAATGAGGTTTTGGAGCCTCATTGCCATTTCTAACCCAGGTGCACAAAGTAAGTTGCTGGATTACTTCTCAGTTCTCACCATGTATGAAAAGGGTACCACATGAATAAATAAAATCTGGTGTATTTTCTAATGAAATCTTATTTGTGCAGCTGTAAAGACTAGGCAAGACTTGTGGCTAACAGGGCAATGAGAACCTGGAAGAAGGTAGTTCTACAATGTTATTCAATTGTGAATGGACTTAATAAATACTAAATATCAAACTTATCCTGCTCTAAGTAGTGATTTAGTATATATGATGTTAATCATGCATTGCAGCCTGCTTAGAAAGCATACGGATTTTAGGATTCGAGAGTGAGATAGACCATGGAAAATATAAGCATAGAAAGCATATATGAGAACTGATATACAACCATTTTTAATCATAAGCCACTACTACTGCTTTTTAGACAGTTTTGTGATGATGATACATTGGCACTTTATTAAAGAATTATAGTAATTTCATAATATTACGAAAAATAGTGGATAGATTTACAATGCCAAAATCAGACGCCCATACCTAATTCTAACCACAAAAATATTTTATTGGAGTTTTCAGAATTCAAAGCCAATAGGGTGCTTCCAAATGTTCAATCATGTCAGTTTTTCCCAGAAGGGCCTTATTGTTAATCATATTGTTCATGAACTTTTCAAAATGCTGAAATTAGATTAAGAATCACATCTTGCTAATAAAAGCAAGATTAGAGAAATATAAAACAACTTGATCATATTTTTCTTATCACTAGGTTATAATATTTCACACACTAACTCTTTCAAATAGTTCACGCATATTTCATCAATTGCAATGAATTATGGAACCATAATGGTCAATTATTTGAGTTTACTTTCCTAAAACATTCTTATGAGGTAAAGTAACTGAAGGCCAGACAGTTGACTAGATGAGGATCATCATTTTGGTAAGCCAGTAGGAAAAAAAAGGGAATATGGTAGCTTCTGACTTTTAGTGGGTACAACCAAATAAAAGACTTATGAATGTAAAATTGCGATAAATTATGTTAAACACGTAGTTGTTAAAATTATACCGTTTATTACATATAAAAAATAATTATGTTTGCATTCTAATTTAAATTTCTTAATAATTTTATTCTCTAATACAATCAAAGAAATATGTAAGCTAAACACTATAGAGGACGGTTATGGTCTCGCGAATGCTTGACTGCATAAGCTAGTTTTAGATGACTGGAATTCTTTAAAGACTTAACCAAAATCATCTGTTAGACCAATCACCAAACGTACACCCGCATTGCATGCACTGTTACTCTGCTAGCTAGGATGGGCTGGGCCAAGCAAATCGGGATGTAATACTGATTGCTCCAAATAATATTTTTTTAAAAATAATTAAATAAGATGCATGAAACGTTGGCTTTTAAATTGTCGATCAGATAGGCGACCAGAGACCACACATAGAAGTCATCGAGGAGCGCGAAACAGACTATTCAATTAACTTATACTCCCTCTGTTTCACAATATAAGACTTTCTAGCATTGTCCACATATATATAGATGTTAATGAATTTAAACACATACATATGTCTAGATTCATTAACATATAAATGAATGTAGGCAATGCTAGAAAGTCTTACATTATGAAACGGAGGAAGTAATAAGTAGAGAAAATAACACGATTGCTCCTAATCTATATTACCAATTTTGTTTAAAATTATTCTATGATTACTCATCCTATAAGAAAAGGCTTCTTTTAGCCTTCCATTGAGAAAGAACACTGCTACACATACTTAAAATAGAATATTACAAAACTTTTATAAATAATTAATGATCTTAACCATTGATTTAACTAGATAAGAGTCATAAAAAATCTAGAAGAACTCTCAACACTCTCAACATGACACGTATTAGTAAGAGTTTAGTAAGAAATTTTAGGTTTTGTTTGTCACAACTCTAGATTTCAAATCCACCTTGGATTTTAGTTTGTATGTTAAATTATAGTGGTTTAAAATTTTATATTTCATCTGAAATGAAAACAAAACGATTCATCCAAATATTATCAATGTAATCGTTGATAAAGTCCATGGATTTATGAAGCCAAGAATAATCAGCTCCAAAAATTTCTGAATTCGGTGTTGCACCAAATAAGGTATGTAAATCCATTTTTATTGACAAAGACTATGACCAAAATGTCTGTCATTATTAATAAGAAAATAGTATTAATATGTTTTTTTGACGGGAAAACAGTAGGAGAGGCTCCTACTGTGATATATTAAAGGAGTTTATGTACAAGAGTTTATATACAGGGGGCTGGAAATGTTACAAATTGTCAAGCCATGATTTCCAGAGTGGACGTTCATGCACTTTTATCCTATTCAAAAGTAGAATAAAATCTTCTCGGAAGCAGAATTTCCAGAGGTTGAAAGATGGCTAGATCGTTTCTGAAGATAAGATCGTTTCTTCGCTTCCAAATGTTTCAAAAAGCTATAGCAATGACTTCAATAAAGAAAGAGTGAGCAAAGTCTCTTTTAGCTGTGGTTACCATGTTCATGAATTCTCGAGTTGTGTGCCAACGGATATGAAGGAATGTCCAACATTGTACGGCGAAGGAGCAAGTGAAGAACAGGTGACTTACATTGAAATTCTTTCTGTGCATCAAGTCTTTTGTGTTAAGACGATCCATCATGAGGAGCCATAGGAAAACTTTTAGTTTCATAGTGCATTTGCTCTTCCAGATAAGAGTGAGAGGTATATCTGGTGTAATATGGGCAAAGAATAATGAGTACATTTTCTTTGCTTGGAAAGATGGGCAGCTCCATTTGTAATGCCAGTTGTCATCTGAGTTGTTCAAGCTCGTGTTCTGAAGGCTGGACTGCAGTAAATTCCAATCTTACATTGCTTGCGCAGAGAGGTAGGTGGAACAATTTTTGGAGGGATTGATCATTTAAGAATCCAAAAACCGAGATGTCTTCATTTCTAGAGAAAGAGAACAGGGTGGTGAACCTCTCTGCCAGTGAATTTCCAGTCCCATTCCAATCATCCTTCCAAAAAACAGTCGTGTCTCCACTATTGATTTTAGTTATTGTGATCGCTCTGAATAGGGGGATAAGTCTGAAAATGTCCTTCCACCAAAAAGATCATTTTTCTGTATGAGCATGTGGAGGTAGATCTGCATTGAGGTAATATTTTCTCCATATTAGTTTGACCCAAGGGAGATTGTGTTTGTTGTAGAATTTATCCAGGTGCTTTGTCAAGAGAGCAATGTTTTGGTATTCAAGATCTATAATCCCCAGACCACCTTTGTCTTTGGGTTTACAGACTAAGTTCCACGAAGCTAGAGACTGTGACTTTTCAGTGATATTTGATGATTTCCTCCATAAGCAGTGCCTTCTTGCCTTGTCAATGTGTGATATAACCTTTTTTGATAATCTGAGTGTGCACATGTAATATGTGGGAAATGAGGATAGGACCGAATTAACCAAAGTCAGACGTTGCCCATAAATGTGTACTCTGTATCCTAGTTTGGGTATTTCTTTTGGTGCTGTGGGTGTTTTCAATGTTTCATTGAGCTACACTCTTTTTTGATTATTAGACTGTAATAATTGGCTATAGCTCTTTCGAGCAAAGGCCGGGATATTTTTTTCCATTATCTAAAAAAAAACCAGAGTCAGACGTTGCCCATAATTAAGAAAGGTTCCGATGGGTGACATTCTTCTTTCCACTCTATCAAGCAAAGGAGCATAATCCACTATTTCTTGGCTTGGCATGTCCCATGGGTAGCCCCAGATAAGTGAAGGGTAGAGAACCAATTTGGCAGCCTAAAGTTCCAGCTAGGATCTGCAATTTCTCTTCATGATCAATGATGGGAATCATACATGATTTATGAAAGTTGACTTTTAGACCAGCGATTTGAGCAAAAAGTTGTAGAAGAGCTTTGAGACAGAAGATTACTAATCATCAGTTTCATGAATCAATTTGAAAGAGACACATACTGGTTTTCATGGACAATTTGTAAGATTACTAATTGAAGTCTATTCAGCCATGATCTTTGTCACAAATTTTAGAGAGGAGTTTTGAAGGGCAATTGGTCTGTAATCATTAGCCGACTCTGGATTTTGCTTTTTCAGAATGAGGGTGATGTACTGATGTTAGAGGTGTTTAGATTCTGGATAGAAATTTGTTCCTCGAAGAAACCCTTGGCTAGGTTATAGTAATCCTCTGAAATAATATCCCAACACTTTTGAAGGAAAAGGCCATTGAAGCCATCTATGCTAAGAGCTCTGTCTGTGGGCATTTTCTTGATGATGTTGTCCATCTCTTCTTTGGAGGGAGGAAGAGATAGGCTTTCCAAGTTGTCTGTTCTTTGAATCAGGGTTGAAAGGTCTATGAAGATCTCGAGTTCAGCAGAGGTACTCATTCTTTCTTTGTAGGTGTTGTACAGAATTGAAGCTTTGTCGACATGGGAGGTTACTGTGATGCTGTCATCTATGGAAAGATGATATATTTTGTTTCTTCGGTGACGATCAGTGGCTGAAGCTTGGAAGAATTTGATGTTCTCATCTCCAAATTTGACATATCGAATGGTACACCTTTTTTTTCCAGAATTCGTTTTTGTATCTCAACAGATTCAGGATGTGCAGCTTTATGATCTTTCTGAAGTTAAATTCCTGAATAAAGAGAGGTCTTTTCTCTTCCAGTAGATCTAGCTGTAAAAGTATCTCCTTGGAGTTAGATATGGTAGTATGAAGATTAGATAATCTTTTGCTCCAATATTTCAAACATCTTCGTAGATTCTTTCGCATTTAGGACAGTTGTAGGATTGGAGGGGATAGGCAGGTTCCAGTGATGAAAGACCACATCAGTGAATCCAGAAATATCAACCCAGAAGTTTCCAAATCTGAATATAGTTGATCTAGGGACAGAAGTTTCAACTTTGATAACACAAGGTGCATGGTCAGAGATGCACCTTGGTGTGTGGTATCTGATAGACCAGGATGGAGAAGTGAAAACCCAATCTAATTGCTGCTGGAGAGGCTGGTCTTGCATGTTGCTCCAGGTGATTCTGCCTTTGAGGGGTAACTCCACTAATCCAACATTACTGATTACCTCGTTGAAGATTAGGATATCATTCATATTCCCCCAGGACGATTTCTATTTTCCACAGATCTTATGAAATTAAAGTCCCCCATGAAGATCCATTTCTGATCAGGGTCCAGAACAATGTCATTCAACCAATTGATCACATACTATTAATATGTGATAGGTAGGAGGTATTTAAGGAATAAAACTTTATAGACCAATGATATATAACAGGGAAAAAATGAACTATATATTTTTGCACAAATTTTGAACACTGAAATCTTAATTTGTACTCCATCCATACCATTTTAAGCGCAACCATTAGTTTTCGTGTCTAACTTTAATCATTTGTCTTATTTGAATTTTTTTTTAAAAAAATAAAAACATAAGTCATGCATAAAGTACTATTCATGTTTTATCATCTACTCTATCCGTCCCAAAATATAAGCAATTTTCGGTGCATCTGACATATCGTAGGCCTATGAATCGCTCCGTGTCCAGATTCAGATTCATAGTCGTAGTATATGTCACGTCCACATAAAATCCTTTATATTTTTGTACGGGGGAGTAATAACAATAAAAATACTAATCTTCTCTACTTACTTTAAAAAATAAGAGGTGCTTCTGTCGTCCGGAAAGAAACCGGGCGAAAAAAGAAAAAAAAAACAAATCTGTTCGATCCAAAAAAAGGGCGAAACAAACGAAAAAATCTGCTGGCGAAAAAAAACAGGCGAAAAAAATAAAAATAAAAACCAAAACTGTCAGATCCAAAAAAAAGGCAAAAAAAAGGGGGAAAAACCGGGTAAAAAAAGAAAAAAAACAAATCTGTTCGATCCAAAAAAAGGGGCGAAAAAAGGGAAAAAAAATCTAAACGAATCCGACTCCGTCAACGCGGTAAAAAAAGGGCGAAAAAAAGGTGAAAAAAATCTAAATGAATCCAACTCTGTCGAAGCAGTAAAGAAAAGGGCGAAAAAAAAGAATTTGTCCGATTCCAAACAAAATCGAATCCTATTATATGTGACACGGTTTAAAAAAAATGCGACGTGGTAAAAAAATAAATCGAATCCGATTCCATCGACGCGGTAAAAAACAAGCGTAAATTTTTTTTTCTGTCCGATTCCAAAAAAAAAGTTGCAAAAAAAGGTTTTCCATTTCTCTTTCTCTATCTCCATCTGTATCTCTATCTCCATCTCTACTACTTTAAAAAATTAAAAGGTGTTTCCGTTGTCCGTCCGTGAAAAAGAGCATGAAAAAGAAATCAGGCGAAAAAAAATCGAATCCGATTATATTTGACGCGGTAAAAAAAAAATTAAAGACGTTTCCGACATCCGTAGTAACGAAAAAAGGGCGAAAAAACATGAAAAGAAAGGAAATTCCAATATCTATTTATACCTAATTAAAAAAAATTGTATGGCTTACGGGTTATAGTTTTCGTCCGTCAAAAAAAAAATTCCAACGCACGTGCGATCGACCCCGCTTCAATCCCTCTCCGATGGCAAAAAAGAAAAAGAAAAGAAAGAAAAAAAATAATGAGAGACCGCATTAAATTTGTACCTAAATCTCAAAGAAAACACTACTACAAGAATACAAGATCGGATTCAAGAACACTAAGAAAACACCGACGCCGGAAGGGGAGGGTGTCACCGTTGCTGTCGAACTGCCACCGCCGTCTCAGGGATGTCGATATGCCGGGCCGCCACCACATTGTTTTGAGACAGAGAGAGGAGGGAGGGGAAATGATTTTAGGGTTAGGGTTTGGGCTGTTGAACTTTTATATAGGTCGGGATCAATCTATCATATCGGACGGCTCTGGCTTCTCCTGCGTCAGGCCGAAGCCATTCCCAGGCTGCCCACACGGAGTAAGTTCACTTTAGGTTGCTTAAGTTGTTCCTCCCAGATTCTATTCCCAGGCCGCCCACATTAGTGGGCCGCCTCATGGACCGCGTGTATGCTCCGTATGGAACAAGTTCACTTTAGGTCCCTTCAGCTGAACTTTTTTTATTTTATTATGAATATATTTTCTTAAAGAGCTCATATCATATAGTACTAAACCTTAATCATATAATATTTTTATATTTGTTACTCCCTCCATCTACTTTTGATTCTACTTTTGATTGTCATATTTCATCTTGGCACATAAACCAAGGATAAGTAATTCTACTTATTATCTATTTAAACATGCTACTAGTCATTCCTCGTAAACAAGCGATTCATTAATATTTACATTTCTCAATACCTATGTAGCCAATCTTGTGTGGAAGAATGAAGAGTCATGCATTAAATCCGAGAAAGTCATTAAGATGATAGGTTATTGAATTGAAATATGCCTATCAAAAATAAATTTTTCAGATTTAGAAATATGACTATCAAAAGTAGATGGAGGGAGTATAATTTTAATTACCCGTCGCAACACATTGGCATTTTTTTCTATGTCAAAAAAAGGACCACGACATACGAGTGAGAGATATATGCCACACATACCCGCAGGCTCATGTTTAAATGAACTGGTAACAGATTTCCAATTGCAGGTCTAATTGTTTTATTTAGGTGATTAAATTTGTTTTCATTTATATAATTAGTTTGCTCTATTTAATCCTTTTGAAAATTGCTAAAATTTGAGAATAACTTTTCCTATTTCGTATTATATTTTTTTAGCTAATGGAATTAATGGAAAATTAATTATATATTTTTATCTTTTCGACCAAAGGTCACTGCAATTTCATTTTATTAATATTATTATTATGATTATGATTCCTTTATATTTTTTCCCACTAGTATGCATGATTAAAATTACCTTTACCCGTTGCAACGCACGGGCATCATTGCTAGTCATAAAATTTTTTTAAACCAGATAGATGATCAAAATTGGAGACGAAAACTCATGGCTGCACTTAAAATAGGATGGAGGGAGGACCTCGTGGAGCAGTAATTTCTTTTTAGATGAACTTGAATTTATTTTAGTCGCTTGCGAGTACACAGTCAGTGGCCTCCTCTCCTGCTGTCCACGTCAGATTCCAGAACCCTCCTTCCTCCTCTTCATTTCACCAATGGCATCAGAAACGCCGCCACCACTGGCCGCGGCGTCAACAAGGGTCGGCGCTATCACCCTCAGCTACATCCTCCGCCGCCTGGCCCCCGCTTGCCTGCCACCGCTGGCGCCGCGCCGGCGAGCGCTACTCCTCGGCTACTTCTTCCACCCGGCCGACACGCTTCGTACAGTGCCCCTAGTGGCGTCCAGGGTCACCCTCCAGACCTCCACCCCGCCGCCTTTGCCCCTGTAGATGCCGCCGCCTCCTCCCCGCGCCTCTCCCTTGACGGCTAAGGCGGCATCTCCGGCTTCACCATGTACGACGTCCACCTCGGTCTCGTGTTGCTCCTCCCAGCATCGCTCTCCTCCAGGATCCTCCCCCGCATCCTTGTCCTTGACCCTGGCTCCCGTCGCCACGAGCTGCTCCCGCAACCCCCGTGCGACGCGCTGTCGGACAACCGCTAGCGTGGCCGTCGGCGCTTCCTTGGCGCCGCCGTGCTCTCCCGCACGCCTACAACGAGCACCCGTGCGCCCACTAGGTATGGATCAGTTTCACCGTGAACCATGCCTGTACTACAACTGTATTGTAGCTAGGTGAGCTGCAGAAGTGTAGAGCTGTGCATGTGCTAGGGCCTCTAGTACTCCCTCCGTCCTTTTTTTTTTTTTTTTGAGGGAGTATGCGTTGGAACCACAATGTGACCATAAGAAGAGGCTATAAGGTCTTAGGGGGTGTTTGGAAACTAGGGACTAAATTTAGTCCCATAGGGACTTATGTTTTTGTGAGAGGGACTAAAGGTTAGCCCCACTTTAGCCCCTCCAACCAAACACCACCTTATAGTGACAATATACGGATTAAAATAGATGTCAGGAGGAGAAATTGACATGATTGATAAAAATTTTTTGAGATAATCCAAGAAATGCCATTGACAAGCGTCCAAGTCCCAGAAATGCCATCGACAAGTGTGAGTTCCATGAAATGCCATCGTACAAACGATTTTGTCCCAAAAATGCCATCGCCGTTAGGGTTCCGTCCATTTTGCGCTGTTAAATACACTGTTCATCCTATAGAACTTAACGGCACGGAGTGGACGGAACCCTAACGGCGATGGCATTTTTGGGACAAAGTTGTTTGTACGATGGCATTTCTTGGAACTCATACTTGTCGATGGCATTTCTGGGATTTGGATGCTTGTCAATGGCATTTCATGGATTATCTCATAAAAAAAAGTAATAGGATTGTACACTTGTGGGGCCATCTTAAAGTCTAATCTTGTTTCAAACATTGTGGCAATAACACTAAAAACAGTGGGACCAACCTTAATACTACTCCTTCCGTTCCATAATATAAGAGATTTTGACATTTAGCTTGCACTGTTTGACCACTCGTCTTATTAAAAAAATGTGCAAATATAAAAAACGAAAGTTGTGCTTAAACTACTTTGAATAATAAAGTAAGTCAAAAATAATAATAATTCTAAATTTTTTTGAATTTGACGAATGGTCAAACAGTGCAAACAAAATGTTAAAATCCCTTATATTAGGGGACCGAGGGAGTATCTATATGATCATAAACATTGGACATACGCATGAAGCTGACTGTAGCAGGACTGCAGGAATGCAGTTTCCAATTTGGTCAAAAGTGCAGCTTTTTACATTACTTGACCAGCAAGAGTTTGGCTGTGTATAGTTCACACCTAAGTTTGGAAATTTGGTTGAAATTGGTATGATGTGATAGAAAAGTTCTGTGTGTATGAAAGGTTTGATGTGATGAAAAGTTAGTAGTTTGGAAAAAAAAAACTTTGAAACTAAACAGGGTCTTTCTTGTGTTAGGGCTTTTACAATGCGTCGGCGTGGCATTCAAGCCTGAGCCACACACGTCGGCAAAACCAGCAAAATCCCATCCACGTCTGCAGCCGGGCCCAAGCAAAGCAAGACCGCGCGTCCAACTGAAGCAACCCGTTCTTGGGCGATTTTCAAGCCGCGCGACGGAGGGAGAAAGCCTCGCGGGCGCGCTGTGGGATGAGTGGCTTTCTCCCTCGTTTCCAGCGCGCGCCCTCGACTTCGCCATCCCGGAATCGCCCTCGCCCGCGCCTCGCCCTCGGCGTCGCCTTCTTTCCCGTGCCTCCAATCACAGACAGCATCTCTGCAAGAACAGTGGTAGCATGCATGATGCAAATCAAACATCAAATAAAAATCGCTAATTTCACTTCTGATTGTCATGCATGACTGGAGACTCTGTCCCAAAATTCTCCTCAAGACCAATTCTTGTATAGGCTACCGCAAGAACCAACCAAACAGGCCAAAACCACAAAATGCAAACCACACACCCACAAGCCAATAACCTCTCAAACTAACCTCGGTGTCGAGATCGGAGGACGGTGAGTAGTCGGCGGAGGGGGAGGAGGATGTCGGTGTTCGGCGGCGGGCAACGTCGCGCGGCGAGGAAGCTGGCCAGGGCGGAGAGGGAGAGGGCCCTGCTGGCGGCGTGACCGGCGGGGGAGGAGGAGGAGGAGTAGGGGGAGAGGAGGCGCGCGGGCGGGTGGCGGCAGCGGAGGAGGAGGCGCCAGCGCCGGGCAGCCGCAGCCTCGGCGGGAGCTGGTGGCGGCTCTGTTGCGACGTCGCTAGGTGAGTTCCTCGACATGGAGAGGCAACTCGCCACGTGCAGACTTCCTCTCATCCTCTGCGACGACGGCTCGGAGAAGGAGGCGGCGGCGGCTCAGAGCGGGAGGCGGCGGCGCTGTCGAGAATGGGAGGGTGTGCGGCGACAGAGGAGGCGATGCGTTCGGTCGTGACTCGCGAGCGAGAATAAGTCAAAGGGCAGAGACCACACCGATTTTGAGGGCACGCACGTATTTTCGCGTTCGCTGGAGAACTCGGCTATGTAAGCTTCGATCACGCCCACTGTGGGCTGAGTAGCCAAATGTGTGTAGCCAAATAAGGAATGGATCCGGTTTGAGGCCACATTGCACTGTGTAGCTTGTGGCTTTTGAAGTTCTTTAGTCTATTTGGCACCCCAGGCTCCACAAATTGAGGAGAAATTTAAGGATTTGCCATCAAATTCGCTAGCCTTTAAGCATTTGCCACTTAATCCATTAGCCTTTCAAAATTTACCATCGAGACTGCGAATTTCTTTATTTTGTGCCACTTTCTCCTCTTTTCCTCGTTTCTTTTTCTTTTTCTCGCGTTTTCTTTTCTCCCGATAGTTGTAGGACGGTATTGTCTCTGTCTTCCTGCGTACATATCGATTGGATCGAACCGATCCATCCTTCTGCTCGCTGTTCTTTTTCGCATCGCGCAGGGGAGACGCGAAGCTACGGCGTCGCACCGCCCATCACAGCTGTGAAAATTTCCAACAAAATTACAGCATATTGGATTCACCAATTTCTCATCTTGAACACACATGACATTTCTCAGAAACATATCCTTAAAAAAAATATGTACAACGTATACTCTTCCCTCACAGCACTAGTTCAAACAGAAGGGAGCGAAAATACATAGGACTAGCACAAATTGATTTCTTTGCAACAAATGTTCTCCAAAACTTGCTTTTTCCCCCGTAACAAGTCTTCTCCCATAATCCAATTAGGAGAAATTTTATGTTACAAATGAAAAGTGACCAGCGTCAGCGATGGGACTGGGTGCTTCTTTTTCACAGTGCTGCTGCCAGCGGTGGGCACCGGCATCAGCGGCGGGACGGTAGTGGCGTGGAGGCGCTCGGGGTTGGGTTGTCTATTGGCGGCGGCGGAAGGGGATGTGTGGCGGTGGCGGCGCTTGTTCGTCGGTGTCTGCTCCCTAATCTCAATCGATCTGTACGCAGAAGCCAGGGGCAATGCCGTCCTACAACTCTCGGGAGAAAAGAAAACGCGAGAAAAAGAAAGAGTAACGAGGAAAAGAGGAGAAAGTGGCACAAAATTAAGAAATTCGCAGTCTCGATGGTAAATTTTGAAAGGCTAATGAATTAAGTGGCAAATCCTTAAAGGCTAGCGAATTTAATGGCAAATCCTTAAATTTCTCCAAATTGAGTGATGCTTTGGCCTACTATGGCTGGCCAGTATGCTGTGCTGCCCTTGCCTCTGCTACCTTCATGGCAGAATGCCGCCCTGGCCCTGCTTTCTTTTTCTTTTCTTTTTTTTTTTTTGGCTGGGAGCTGAGGTAGTGAGCTGACTGTTGTAACTTGTAAGGCTCTTCACAGTGCGTCGACCTGGTGAGTTACCTTACCGCCAGGTCCTACCTGCGCAGATGTGTCACCTTCGCTCGTGCCTTCGCATAGCCGCTCGCACCTTATCTAAACCGCGAGTTCTTTCGCTGAATTGAGGGCGCGCGGCGTAGGAAACTCGAGGGACGCATGCGCTGTGGAGGTCGTTGCTCTGGAGTCGTTGTCCCATCGCACCGCAGCGGAGAACGAATCCCCAAAATCGCCCTCCCGCCCCGTCAGGCTCAGTGTGTGAGGTGCTCCCCGCCGGAGAAGTCCCAATTGAGGGCCGGCGCCATCGCCTTCTTCCTCCGCTCCGGCCCCTCTTCTTCCTCCAACTAGTCCACTCCGGAGACTCCAGATCGAGGAAGACCCAGCAGCGATCGCCAGGAGAGCTCGTGGTGGCGCGAGGCAGGGCCGGTGTCCGTGTAGAGGCGGTCCAGCCTCCCGTCGTCATCAAGCCCTGACGGCGGACGCTGTGGAGTCGAGCCCAGGCAACGGCAGCCCGCGTGGAGGAAGTCTGTCCGGCGGTGCGGATGGAGCCGGCGGCAACACGCTCATCCTCTAGATTGAGCGGTGGGATTGACGGTCGGCAAGTAGCCACCAAATCCGCCCACGACGACGTGGAGTCCGAAGTTGGGGCGCAACGTTTGGCAGCTGGCGATCGTGGACCGGTAGCGACCGGGAGGCAGCTGGGCTCGGAGCTCCATCTCTGTGCCCTAGCGGCGGCGGAGCATGGTCATCGGCGACATGGCGTGGCGGGTGGGAGCAGCACCGTCCCACTCCGGAGCTCCATTGTCACGAACCGGCGGCGACGGGGCATGGTGTTTGGCGGTGCGGTGAGCCCGATTGAGAGAATATGAGGAGACACGGCGGATGGGGAGAAAAAGCGGCGACTTGGGAGGGAGACGAAGTGGGAAGGAGGCAATGTGTTGGGGAAATAGAGGGGTAGTTGAGGAATATATTGCTTGGCCTGGGAAACAGAGGCGCAGTTGATGAGTTGAGGTCACTTGCATTGTGGTCTATGTTGCCTCAAGAGTTGCTCCCCCAATTAAGTCCATGTAAAATAGGTAAGGACCATTGTGTAGGGAGTAGCCTTGGGCTGATTTTCCAGCGCTTCATGGGTTAGAGACACGCCAACGATGGCTTGGCATTGCTACTGCCAACAAGACCAAGCCTACAAGCACTCCAGGCCTGCTATAGCACAGCTTTGGCCTTCCAGCAGTGCTCACTCCTCCAAGTCGGGGGGGGGGTGTCTCTCCAAGCATCCTATCCTACTCGTAAGCAACCTAGGACTAATACACCACTAGGAATGTCATTTTATTGCTTCACCTTGAGGGTTGTCAACGTCAACACCATTTCACTATTGGGACTTTTCTCACCTACTATTCATTAAGCGTATTAGTCCCAAATCAATTATACCTTTGCATATTTGGTATTCCATCTTACAGTCTTCTTATAATTGATACAGATTACTCATAGCTTCAAATGGCCTCGCACGGTGAGATCGTAAACAGCTTTCATCGTCACGGAGATTGACGATTGTCAGGAAACAGGGAAGTCATAATTCAAAAAGTTCAGAGAACTTAAAATACCATCAGCCATACTTTAGGTAATAGAGGTCGGTGTGAAGCTCTCACGGAGTTTTGGCCGGATGATAGTTGTACTTTCATCTCACATCTTGTGTGTGATGACTCTTTAGCTGAGTAATGCAATCCCTTATCCCCCCCAAAAAAAAGTCACCGTTACAGAATCGAGTCAAAGGAAATATTGGTCTCATACTCTGATATATAGCTGGACCCAAGTAATTGATCAACTGATTATGAGAATATAAACAGACCATATTGTGTACTCCCTCCGTCCCTAAATATTTGATGTCGTTAACTTTTTAAAACATGTTTGAACGTTTGTCTTATTTAAAAACTTTTGTGAAATATGTAAAACTATATGTATACATAATAGTATATTTAAGAGTAAAATACATGAGCGGTCCTTAAACTTGAGCGTGGGTGTCACTTAGGTCCGTAATCTTGTAAATTGCTCAGTCAAAGCCACCATCTTGGTTTAATGATTCATACAAGGTCCAAACCCCACTTGACCGGCTCTGACCGCCGACGTGGCACGCCACGCAAGCACCTGATTTGCAAATACCCCCCTCCGCAACAGTTAGACTCATGGACAGCAAAAAAATCCCAAATCACTCGCATCCATCTTAGTCTAGGGTTAGCGGCTTGGGCGGCTGAGGCAGCTGAGGCGAGAAGCGGACGGTGTGCGGCGGCAAAGTGGGGAATAGCAACGTGGGGGCGGTGTGAGGCGGCCTGTAGGCGGCGAGGTTGCGGCCGGAGGCGGCGAGGTTGCGGCCGGAGGCGGCGAGGTTTCGGCCAGAGGCGGCATGGATTTGGCCGGAGACGCCGAGGTTGCGGCCATGGCGTCTGCAAGCACTTCGTTGTTAAGCAGTCGCCGAAGGAGGTTAGTTGTACCGTTGATCACATGCCCCTCATGCAATGTGAAGACCATCGTGAGATGCACAGCAAAGACAGATGCTAATCGAGGCCGTATTTTTTACACTTGTCCTGACCATGAGGTGATTCTTTTTTGAGTTTTTTTTTTGTTCCAATTTGTTAACTGGGAATTACCGGAGTTATGTTGATTTGAGTTTGTTTGTTCTTTCTGTAGAAAGATGGATCTGGGTGTAACTTTTGGTATTGGGAAGAAGGCTACATCAATTATCTGAAGAGGAATGGCTTCATTGTTGGACAAGATGGCACATATGGGAAGACTGCTCAGAATGTGGATCTGGATGAAGATGCTTTTGTGAGACAAGATGAAATAGAGAAGAAATTGATAGCTGTAGTGCCCATTGGTAGAGAAATATTGTTGGCAGTGAAGGGCATGCTAGTTCTAGGGTTATTTGGAGTTGTTATTTTAGTATGTATTCTGGTTGTTCTCTTGATGAAATGAAGGTGGAATTGAATGGGGAATGAAGAATGCTGAATGTATTTTGGTTTTGCCAACTTGTGGTCAGAACTGAATAATGAGGAATGTTGGCAATTGTACTGAAATATTTAGCATTTTAAGTTTCAAATTTGTGTGGAATGATAGGTTTTGAATACAGGTTCAAAAATATGCAGTCATTGGTTTTACAAAGTCTGAATCAAAGAGAATTGGTTGTGGATATGTTAACTGAATCAAAGAGAATTGGTTGTGGTACTAAATCAGATTCAATACACATATATGCCATAAATCAAATTGACAGGTACATTGCATCAATACACATATATGCCATAAATCAAAAGGACAATTGATCTGAGAACCAACCACTTCATTGCATGACAGTGTAATGTTTTATCCAAAAGCACATCCAGAAAGAGCATAAGACAGATGTTTGCTGTCATGGCATAACAGACACATTTACATGGCAGCAACATTCATATCCAAAATACACATCCACATCCACTATCTCCCACTATTTCTTGCCATGAACATGAGTTGGCAAGCAAAAGTAATCCTATAGTACCCATATGATCTATGAACAAGCATGGTTCATTGCAGAAGCACTATGTTCCTTCAGGCCTTCTTCTTCTTTGCAGCAGCAACATCCTTTGAACCCTCTTTTGCCTTCTTTTTCTTTGAAGTACCAGCTGCATTCTTCTTAGCCTTGGTCATATGTGATCTACCCTCTTTTGTTGATGTGGTTAATACCACTGGTCTAGCTGTTGGTTGGTTATCTTGAATGAAAGCACAATCAGGTAGTGGACCATGTTCCTGAGTTAGCTGACTGGGCTGTGATGCCTACAGGATTTGAGGTATAATATGAGAGCAAATTAGTTAGAAGGGATGACAGTTCTGGTAGAAATGCAACATGTGGTTAAATATCCAAAAAAGTGAACTAAATCAGATGTCAACTAAACTGCCCTTAGCAAGAAAATTACCTCTTGCAACATGTGATCCAACATATTGTCATTGACCTCATCCATCAGTGAAGAGCCACCTGGTATAGGTCCCATTAATTCCTGTAACACAGCATAGGCAACTCAAGGGTAAGCTAAACAGGTTGTAATAAGCCAATCAAAATGGTAGAATTTTAAGAGTTAACCTGAGGCATGGCAGAAGGTTCTTCTATGACTTCAGCAACATTTCTTCTTATCTTGTTCTTAGGCCTTATCCCCTTCTTCCTCAGCTCACACCCTTTTTTATTGTGGTTAGCTTCATGACAATAGCTGCAGTGAATAGTTACCCCATGTTTGCTTAACTTGGGACCATTTCTACCTTGCACTTCCTGTGGTTGCTTCCTTCTACTTTTCTTTGGCCGGCCAACCTTTTTCTCATACACAGGAGGCAATATATGTGGTCCATTCATTTTCTGCCACTGGGCTTTATCATTGCAAGGCATGATATTCTCTGCATAGACTGCCTTGAAGGCATTGATAGAGTAGCAATGTGGAAGAAAATCTTCTTTAGGTAGTCTATCTTCTCTAATGCAAGCAATTGCATGGCAACAAGGGATGCCAGTTAGGTCCCACCTCCTACAATCACAGTGCTTGGTCACAACATCCACAATGTATGTGCTCCCTCTCTCTTCTACTTGGAAAACACCTTTTCCAGCCAGCAACACATAGCAAATGTTAGCCTGCTCAGCAATTTTCAACAATTTCTTCCTAATTTTGGGACAGATTGGGCCCTGCCATTTTTCCGCCTCTTTCTGTTTGTTGAAGAACCTTGCCATCAACTGTCCCTTTATCTTCTCCAACATGGTCAGTATTGGCATCTCTCTAGCTTCTAAAATATATTTGTTGAATACCTCACAACTATTGTTTAGTAAGATGTCACACTTAGGGAAATCACTAAAAAATGCTCTAACCCAGGTATTTGGTGCCATTTGTCCTAACCAGTTATATGCATCTTCATTTAAATCCTTCATCTCCTCCATTTTAGTATTCCACTCTAGCACGGTACTAGATCTAGCACAACACCAAAGTTGATTTTTAAGATTCTCACCTTTGAACAATTGCTGAAAGTTCTGGTACAAATGCCTGACACAGAACCTGTGCTCAGAATCTGGGAATAATTGCTGGACAGCTGGTATCAAACCCTACAAATAATATTTAAATAATTAGAAACAGCAATGACATGTTTAGAAACAACAATGCCAATATTTAAATGATTACAAACAGCAATGACATGTTTAGAAACTGCAATGGCAATATTTAAATGATTACAAACAGCAATGATACCTTTTGTTTGTCAGTCATGATAATCCAAGGATAGGTGTTGACAATGCCAAGGTCATCTTTTAAAGTTTGCAAGAACCAGGACCATGTGCTAAATGATTCCACTTCCACAACAGCCATTGCTATTGGAAATATGCAGTCATTGGGGTCAATGCCACCTGCTGTCAACAATTGTCCACCAAATTTGGTCTTGATATGGCACCCATCCAAGCAAATGATAGGCCTGCATCCACTCAGAAATCCCCTCTTGCAAGCATCTAAAGAGAAATAAAGACAACTAAACTTGCCCTCATCAAGTTTCAGATAAAATGAGCTGCCTGGGTTAGACCTCCTCAATTCATTCCCATAGTCCCACAGCATGTTGTATTGTGCAACCTCATCTCCATAAATCTCTTTCTGTGCCAACCTCCTAGCCCTAGCCAGTTTGCTCCTTGAAGGTGTCAAATTCAACTCTTTCTGAACAGTTTTTGCAAAGCTAGAAAGAGTCATCTTGCAATCTGCCCTAAATGACTCAATATATTTCTCTGCAAGCCAGTTGGCAGTGCACCTCTGCAGAACCCACTCCTTTCTACACTTGTGCTGAGGCACATAGGTCTTCACAATAAAACCGTGCACTCTGCTATCTAATGACGCATACATGTTCCAAGGGCATCCTTCTGCACAATGAGCCCTGATCCTTGTTCTATCATTCCTTGGCATCTTGATGTCCACCCTATTCTTCAAGCTGTACTCAGTGATTGCTTTTCTAAGCATCTCAACAGAAGGAAACACCATTCCAACTTTAAAAACAGGGTTATTCATATCCTCTTGGTTAAAAGACTTGAACCTCAAATTGATCTCATTTGGATTGTCTGGCAGCTCCAAGAACTCTTCATCACTTGACTCCTCATATGATTCTTCCTCTCTAGCTACTTCCTTCCCCTTGAACTTGCTACCTGCAACCTTCTTCTGATTGAACTTCTTAGGTGCCACTCCCTGGTCCACCACATCACCATCCACATTATCCTCAAATATGTCATCATCATCATCTTGCAACTCATAGTCACTGTCTACAAAGTCTGAATCATCAGCCTCACTATCATCACTGTCATAATCACCATGATCTTGTATTTCTTCAGCTTCTTCATCTACAACCACACACACTGGTCCTCCTACATTACTACCCCCCTGGTTCCCATGTTCCTTCTGCTGACAACCTCTAACAGGGCTCATTACTTTAGGCAACTCAGAGGTTGGGCTAAGGATGATATCTTCCTGACTACTGCCTAAAACATGGTCACTATGGTCCAAATAGAGGACAAAGTTCTTAACTCTGTTGCACACTGAATTCATTACATTTATCTCTACTTCGCTGTCCACAATTCGCAAACCATCAGCCAATCTCTTCCCAGGCAGCAACCAATACACTTTCAGTCTTGGCCCTTCTGCATAACCCAGCATAGCAACCAAATCTAACAAGTGCAGAGAACTACCCCACTCCCGAGAATCAACATAGTCGAACCAGCTAACTTTGCCATCCACATAACTGCGATTGACTCCCATACCACAGAAAAATCCACCATGATGAATCTCAATTGTGAAATGCTTCGAATTAGGGCCTACCGATGGCAAACAAATCGATCAACAACCAACTAAAACCCTAGCTTTAACCCTAACTACCCAAATAACATCATCTCACATTTCATAAATAACCTTACTTCCCAGTACGATTAGAATGCAGATGATTGCTACATCACAAGCAAGTTCGGTACTTACGGTACACGGGTGCCGCCTCAGCTTCTCCCCTCAAGCTGAGGTCCATAGTCGCCTCTGCGCCGACACCGACGAGGGAGCCGGCACACGACGCCTATCACCCGCCGCCACTCGCGCAAGTGGATGCACCGCCCGAATCGCAGCCGCCGCCGACGATCCCCGGAGTCACCAACTCGTCGCTTCCCCTCCCTCCTGAGCCGACGATTGGGGAAAAATGTGTGGAAGGCGACGGATTTGGGATTTTAGGGTTGGGTCCAGGGCTCTACTGTAGTGATAAGGGGTTTATTGCAATTATTCCGAGTCTAACTGTTGCGGAGGGGGGTATTTGCAAATCGGGTGCTTGCGTGGCGTGCCACGTCGGCGGTCAGAGCTGGTCAAGTGGGGTTTGGACCTGGTATGAATCATTAAACCAAGATGGTGGCTTTGACTGAGCAATTTACAAGATTACGGACCTAAGTGACACCCACGCTAAAGTTTAAGGACCGCCCATGTATTTTACTCTATATTTAATAATGAATCAAACGATAGGAAAAGAATTAATAATTACTTAAATTTTTTGAATAAGACGAATGATCAAACATGTTTAAAAAATTCAACGGCGTCAAATGTTTAGGGAAGGAGGGAGTATATGGCAGCAGTGTCATCTATAGGCAACTTGATTATCTGCATAGTGATGATACAGTGCAGATAGGATCAAATGCATGATCACAATAAACCCAATTAGTCACTCCAAAAGGAAAGCACTCTGAAGTGTTTCGCAAGAAGATTTATCATAGTTTAAGGCATCTCACCGTAATATCTTTCAAAATAAAACAAGCTAGGAGAGAGATTATCAGAATCATCGGAGTACAACGGATAGATAACAAGCACTCCCATCATGCATAACATAGTTTGGGGGTTAAATCCTCCAGATAGAACCATAGATTGCTGTCAAACTATCCTTGTTAAGGACATGAGTAAATTACCGAATATAGTTTGGTGTATTCGGAGTATCACATGGTCCAGAGTATGTTTCCCTAAGTAAGTTGAAACCCCACCTAGACGTTGTCATCTTGACACACAAAATTAGAGGTTCCTAGCTTCTGAACTATAGCTATCCACAAATTCAAGTATCTGAGCTGACTGTAGACCCCCAAAAAGGAACCTGTGCTGTTACCTCCTACCACCAATCCACCACCCTGAATCATAAGAAATGCACACAACTATTAGCAGTTTCATGCGAATCAAACAATGGAAAAATGGTATGTAAACAAATAAGGTGTTTGCATGCATGTAAACCTGAAAAAATAAATTTCAAACTCATCATAGATAAAATGAGAAGTGGTACTGTAATGCATTCTGAACAGTACATGCTGAATGCTTGTCCTTATTTGTATCTCAACATCTAGGATAAATTTGAAATTGAACTTTTCTATGTTTGCATAACACTATGTACTGCATCCATAAAAGAAAAAATGGATTTGTTATTGAAACATTTCAGCATCGTGGGTTCACTAGGGAGTTGCTAGCTTCTCTGGGCATCAGAATTGCACTCTAAGATGTTCACTATTATTTTTCTTTGGAATTTTTGAATATGGACTTGTAAGCAGAACATTGTTATTTACGCCAATCTATACACCATGTTAAGTTTAAACTAACAAGAACATCCACGAGTTGATAATGAAAATAGTTGATATTGGTAACTATTCTTGACATTTCCACTCATGAACATATATTGAAAGTCTACTCCTAATGAAATTCAAAGTTACAATATGATAGAGTGTAACAGTTCAAAAGAAATTTGGATGCAGGGAAAATTGATTAGCCACATATAGATTTATTTCTAAGCAGTGATTAGATTTGCAATAAGCCAAAACTACCGAGCAAAGTATCTATCAAGATTCTGATGCGAAATAAAAAATATTGAGGGGTAAACGCACTTAATATTGAGTTAGTCTAACATAATACAGCTAATTTCAGGCAGATGGATTATGGAATCACATTACTACTTGTAAAGAACTTTCAGCTACTCCACATAATCACACTATGAGGCAAATTCTTAAACCACACATAATCACACCAGAATCACCATAGTAATCAAACTAACATTTGCATTGACAATTGAAAAGAGATAAACCCAGATTACCTGAAAAATTCAGCCATCGGCTGTAGCCGAGATGTAGGGGAATATGGGTTGGCCGTACTCCATGCCGTCTTCTGTTGCCAAGCACTCCATCTCGCCGGTGTCCAGATGGTACGAGAAGCGCCCGAATCCAGCGGTGGCGATGAACACCTTGCCGGTGCGGCCAGCGTCGATGTCGCTCAGCCAGAGGACCAAGTGCCGGAGCAGGACGTTTCTTGGCAGCCATGGAACCGCGTCGAGCACCTCCAGCATGCGCACGCGCCTCTCCATCACCCACCCGTGGTCGCTGCATTCGCCGCTCCCCCGCACCCAGAGCTCCAGCAGCCCCGGCGGCTCCAGCGAGGCGACGCACAGCCGCCCGTCCGACGCCGGCATCTCCCCGACGCGGTACCTGTGGTGGGAGGTCGAGTCCCACATCGCCGCCGGCGCCCGCAGGAAGGAGAACTGCAGCGTGGCGGTGTCCAGCGCGAGCGTCCAGGAGTTGTTGCGGATGTGCCAGTACAGGCTCCCCGCGGCGCGCACGGTGAGGCACTCCAGCAAGTCGGGGTCGAACTCGATGGCGACCTCGCGAGATCCAAAGGCACTCGCCGTCGCGGTACGTGCCGACCCAGGCGCACGGGCGGCCGAGGTTGACGGCGACGCAGACGGCCCCGAACCGCAGCCCCCCGCCGTCGCCGCCGGGGTCCCCCGCCGCCGCGTCGTCGCGGGAGAGGAGCGCGGCGCTGAATATCCCGCCACTGGAGTACTCGTCCACCGGCGGCGGGTGGAACAGCACGTGGCGGCGGGAGACGGGGTCGCAGACGAGGAAGGCGTCGTGGCGTTCGCGGTGGCGGAGGAGGAGGAGCCCGAGGTGGGAGTAGAGGAGGACGAAGTGGGAGAGGTCGGGGACGAAGTCGAGGGAGAGGCGGCGCGGGGAGGAGGAGGCGGCGGTGATCAGGGGTTGGAAGGCGGGGACGGTGAGCAGCGTGTGCGGGCGGGGAGGGCAGCCTCTGGGAGGCACCGGCGCGGGGTGGTGGAAGTGGCCGAGGAGGGGGGGAGGAGCGGGAGCGGCGGAGTGGGAAGAGAAGAGGCGGCGGAACGTCAGGGCGGCGCGGCGGCCGGTGGCTGTCGCCGTCGCCGCCATCGTCGGAGTCGGTGGAGGAGGCGAGGGGGTGGGGGCGATGTATGTAGCGCTTTTTCGCTGCTGCTTTTGCGCGCGATTGGGTGGATTTCTTGTCGCGGAGAAAGGCTGCAAATACAGGGCAGCACTGTACAGACGACAGAGCGTGGGAGACTTGTGGCAGTAGGAAAATGGCTAGGTGCACACACGACTGCAAGAATCCTTTTTGGCTGGGGTGCGTTTAGTTCACGCTAAAATTTAGAAATTTGATTGAAATTAGAACGACACGACGGAAAATTTGAAAATTTGTATATTTAGGAAAGTTTTGATGTGATGGAAAAGTTGGAAGTTTGATGGAAAACTTGTGGCTGTGTTTAGATTTAGGGGTGAAAAGTTGTGTGTCACATCGGCACATATTTAAAGTATTAAATAGTCTAATAACAAAACAAATTATAGATTCCGCCGGTAAACTGCTAGACGAATTCAATAAGCCTAATTAATCCATCATTATCAAATATTTACTGTAGCACCACATTGTCAAATCATGGCGTAATTAGGCTTAAAAGATTCGTCTCACAATTTTACACGTAATCTATGTAATTAGGTTTTTTTTATATTTAATACTCCATATATTGTCCAAACATTCGAGGGCATTTAACTATTTGCCACTTTTAGATTTGGCATTTAACTATTTGCCACACATATCTCAATGACATGTGGGTCTACGTGTGTCTATGGTATGGTGGTCCAGTGGCAAATAGTTAATTGCCACATCTAAAAGTGGCAAATAGTTAAATATCTCAAACATCATTCGATGTGACAGGTTGAAAAGTTTTTCTTGGGAACTAAGACCCTATTTGGATGGGACTAAAAACTTTTAGTCCCTGTCACATCGGATGTTTGGACACTAATTATAAATATTAAACGTAGACTATTGATAAAACTCATTTTATAACTCTGGACTAATTCGCGAGATGAATCTATTGAGCCTAATTAATCCATGATTAGCCTATGTGATACTACAGTAAACATGTGCTAATTATATATTAATTAGGCTTACAAATTTTGTCACGTGAATTAGCTCTTATTTATGTAATTAGTTTTATAAGTAGTCTATGTTTAATACTCCAAATTTATTCGATGTGGTAGGGACTAAAGTTTAGGCCCTGTATCCAAACACCCCCTAAACAAGGCCTAAACTCATCTCATTTTTTCATCTACTTTTAATCCTACTAAACTCAGCTAATCATAACCATTAATCCTTTACCTCAACATTAATCTGTCAAAAAATAATCTCAGACATATTTCCTCCGGCTCAGAAACAAATTACGAATCTGAATTAGGATCATCTTATGATCTTTCGAGCATTCCCTCCATGCACAATGATGTCAAATCCACGCTGTTGGAGTGATCTTTTGAGGCCCTCTCTAGTTCCCACATAAACATTTTACACCCTCTCACATAAACGTTTGAACACCTATATAAAGTATTAAATATATGCTAAAAAAATAACGAATTGCACAAATTGCGACCAATTTACGAGACGAATCTTTTAAGCCTAATTGCTCCATGATTTGACAATATGGTGCTACAGTAAACATTTGCTAATGACATATTGATTAGGCTTAATAAATTCGTCTCGTGGTTTACTAATGGATTCTGTAATTAGTATTTTATTAATGCCCGAACACCCTATACGACACCCTATATAATATCTGATGTGACACGTCGAAACTTTACACCGCTATATAACGAGTCTAACGAGCCTTGTATACACCTGAATAACACCCCCTGAATAACGAGTCTTGCGAAAAAACGACCGCGTCACGTGGACGGACCAGTTCCCGAATTGGGAATACAAATTTAAGGTGTTTGAAATACACCTTAGTCATGCAACCGGTTTAATTTGGAATACATGAGTGTATTATCACAAAAGAAAATTTGTTTGTGCTGACCGCTATCCCCATGTAGATAGAAAATTTCAAGCCTGTCCATGCGCATAGCATTCAAAGTTTAACCGGGAGTAATTGAATTACTATATGAAACGCTACAGTGACAAAGCAAATCCATGGAATGACAGCATCATTCAATCAATTAACAGAAATGATTGCATCAAATTTGGATATATCTCAGCTAGGTTAAGCAACAATATTAGCTATTCCTTTGTTCCATAATTCTTGACATAATTCTTGACGTTTCGAACAACATTAAGGTTAAACTTTTATAATTTACTAAAAACAAAATGTATAGACTTATCTCACAAAGTATTGTAATAAAAGTAAAAGAATATACTTAGTTATTGTATATATTATAATATAAAAATATAGTAAAAGATATATTTTGTAGACTGTGTTATTGTTCAAAACTTAAGAATCATGGAACTGGGGAAAGTAGAATGTATGTACTCCCTCCGTTTCAGGTTATAAAATATTTTGACTTTGGTCAAAGTCAAACTGTTTCAAATTTGACTAAGTTTACCGACAAATATAGTAATATTTACATTACCAAATTAGTTTTATTAAATTAATAATTAAATATATTTTTATAATAAATTTACCTTGGGTGGAAAATATTACTATTTTTTCTATAAACTTAGTCAAACTTGAAGCAATTTGACTTTGACCAAAATCAAAACATTTTATAACTTGAAACGGAGGGATTAGTATGTATGTTTGCCAGCCCTTAATAAGTTCCTTAGATGGTTAGAAGGGCTTAGTTCTAATATCTATCTATTATATTATTAAAACAGTTTGAAAGGAGGCACCACGTTCGTTGTGGGGGCTAGAAATTCCCACATTAATCGGAGAAAAAGAAAATAAGAGTCTAATTAGAAATACAATTTAAAAATAGTTGAAATTCGGAATTACAAATAAGGAATATTGAGAGAAGAGTCGATATAAGAACCCAATACGAGATTAATTAATATTGGGAATAAAAATAAAAATAAAATCTAAAATTAGCAAAAAGAAAAGAAGAGTTCAAGTAGGAATACAATTTAAAATTAACTAAAATTCGGAATTAAAAATAAGCAATATTGAAAGAAGAATCCAATACGGGATTAATTAAAATTCAAAATTAAAAATAATATAATATCCAAAATTAGAAAAAGTAAAAGAGAGTTCAAGTAGGAATACAATTTTGAAAAAACTTAAATTTCAAAATAAAAAATAAATTCTGAAATTAGAAAAAGAAAAAAAAGATTTCAATTAGGAATACAATTTACAAATAACTAAAATTGGTGATAAAAAATAAAGACTATTGAAAAAAAAAGACCATCTAAAACACATGACGAGATAAATTAAGTAAGAGGCGTATAAAAGAGTAGAGTGGTGGCGGTTGATAAGATATATAAAAACTGTTTACAAAACACCAAATAGAATCCTAATGACGATTAAAAGGAGGGACGACAGGCAGGCCATGAAGCTAACGGGCAAGGCGGTTGCTGGGACTTCTAGAAAGTAAAAAAAAAAACCCTAGTGATAATTATATTCGATTTTTAAAATCTCAATGACAATAAAAAGGAGAAGCAGCGGGCGAGACGTATAGGAGTGTAGTTGCATTGCTGCCGACGGTTGGTGGGACTTCTAGAAAATAAAAAAATAAATTCCAACGATAGTTATGTTCGATTTTTAAAATCGCAGTCACAATAAAGAGTAGGCGGCGGATGGACCATAGAGGAGTATAGTGGCATCGTTTGATAAGACTTCTAAAAATTATAAAAAATAAAACCCAATAAGACAATAAACTCTAAAAACTACAAGGACCATTTTTTTAAGGTTCGGAACTTGTAAAAAGTACAACAAAAACCAATAATAATCATGTTCGATTTGAAAATCTCAGTAAAAATAAAGAAGGGAGGCAGCGGGCGAGCCACAAAGGAGTACAATGGCAAAATCGCTGACGGTTTGGTGAGACTTCTATAAAGTAAAAATGAACCCGAACGATAATTATGTTTGATTTTTAAAATCCCAACGACAATAAAGAGAAAAGACAATGGACGAGCCATAGAGGAGTATAATGACAGCGTTTGACGGGGCTTCTAGAGATTATAAAAATGAATCCCAACGAAACAATAAACTCTAAAAACTACAAGATTTAATTTTAAAAGATATCAAGGAGAATGAATAGAAATAGTGGTAGATCGAGCAAGCAAATAAAAAAGGATATGACATAAGTAAGGGGTAGCAGCTGGTGTGACTTTTAAAAACTATATAATTAGAAATACGGGGATGATAAGGTTTGGTCTTTCAAAGTCATACTTGAAAAATATATGATTTTGTTTAGGTGCTAGTCGCGCAATTGCGCGGGTCACCCAGCTAGTTAGTCTGATCCACAATCAGGCAGTGATCAGGAAACTCCTATTTAAGTTATCATTGTTAGAGGACCCTCAGTTATAAAAAGGGAAAAATCAGTGAGTCCCACATCCTAATACTCGAGTTACAAATAACAATCACACAAATGAACTCAAGCAAACCTTTACTTTGTATGCACATATGGTCAAAGTTTGATCTGCAGCAAACCTGACAACCAGCATTTTGGTGATAGAGCTGATAGAATCAAGTGCATGCTCACAATAAACCCCAGCTAGCCAGACAAAAGAAAAGGAACAGTATTACGATAAATTTTCACTAACCTTCTCCCGGTCATGAGAATTCAAAACTTCAAACTGCTCAAAGCCTCAGATTGTCCAGTTAGCAGATGCATAGTTATATCAAGCATTAGTTCTTCCACCAAAGTGTTTCACATGCTATCCTTGCTCAAGTGGATATACCTCTTAAGATTCATCATAACAACGTCATATATTGCATAGTACTAACATATACAAGGTAGGAGAGAGAATTGAAAGTAAAAATGGATACTAATTTCTGAATTTTACAGCTTTTAGATACAAATAGGTTGCAAAAGACCAGCGCATAACTAATGTTAATCTATCATTCCGAAGCATGAAAAACATATTAGTGATTTACGGAGTTTCAAGCAGCCCAATATGTGTTTGCCTGACTAAGCAGAGACACCACCAAAGCATCCATACTTCCTAAAGGGCAAAAACTACAGCTTCCTATGGAGAGTGAACTGTAGCGATTCATAGATTCAAATATGTTCTCAGAAGTCAGAACTCCTCCCAAAAGCCACCACCCTGGATCATAAGAAATGCACACAGAGTTGTGTTAGCAGTTCCCTCTAAACCAAATGATGAACAAAACAGGTGCTTTGTAAAAAAAAAATACAGAATTGGTCTTCCCAAGGTACAAAATACAATCAAACTGATTTGCAACCAGAACATTGTGCCAAACTATACAGTTAAGTTTAAACAGCACTGATCACATCCACAAGTTGATTGTGTAAATTCTAAAATTCATGACATTAACAACATCCCTAAAACTCAACCACATGTAAGTCTTGTCTAAAAAACCAAAAGGATTATAATATGGAAATTATCTTGACATTGCTATGTCTCAACATGAGAGGGAAAAAAATGGAAAGACCACTCTTACTGAACTTTAAGGTTCCCAATCTATAATGTGAAAATTCAAAAGAACTACCAAATAATGTCATCGTTTCTCTATCCTGATGTAGATTTTTTTCCCAATATGATTAAATTTTGTTGGTTTGCTAGACTAACTGTGCATCAACCTCCAAGAAACCTGCGGTGCAATGTATATCCAGAAATCTCTTGCAAATCAGAAATGCATGTATAACTTTTTTTTTCTTGTAAAGGAGAAGCATAGATAATACTGAGGTGCAACGCACACTTCTTTTGTGGAAGTTAATTTCAGGCTTATAAAATCACACGAATGCCGATAAACAAAACACCATCTACTCCCTGGATGTGATGCATTGCAGGTTCACTTGCAAGAAAGCTAAGAAAATCCGAAACACCCAGAGAAGTTCAAAAAAGAAATGAACCTAAAGAGATAACAAAATACTGCAGTTATTCCCCTAGTTTATGTTTAATACAATAACAGTTACATCTAAAGATGCAAACTACTAGTCAACAAACATAAGGTGGTGTTGAACTCAAAAGCTAGCATAGAGTGAATCAATGAAAGGAACTAGAATCATGGCACAACAAAAAGAAAAGAAAAGGAAATATGTAGTGAATCATTCGCAATTGCGTAGAAGTGCAAAGCAATATGCAACTTTTTTGTGATGATCAGAGATCAGACAGCCCTCCTCCCATATACCCACCATTTGCCATCAATAGCCGTGTATCATTAGCAAACTAGAATGTTATTACTGGAAATTATATGACCATACATATCCTACAACTAGAAATCCGCTACTTCTAAACACAATATCAGAGTACTTAAGCAGAGTCAAGCCAACAACATTCATCGATCTGATTAAGCAATTGATCAAGCATTGTCCACCGGCGACTCCCCGACGCGGTACTTGTGGTGGGTGGTTGAGTCCCACATCGCCGCCGGCGCCCGCAGGAAGGAGAATTGCAGCGTGGCGGCGTCCAGCGCGAGCGCGCAGGGGTTGTTGCAGATGTGCCAGTAGAGGCTCCCCGCGGCGCGCACGCAGTGGCTCTCCAGCCAGTAGGGGTCGAACTCGATGGCGACGTCGCGCGACCGCGGCAGGGCGCGCCAGCGGCAGTCGCCGTCGCGGCACGTGGCGACCCAGGCGCGCGGGGCGTCGGCGTCGACGGCGACGCAGACGGCCTCGAAGCGGAGCCCCCCGGCGTCCGCCTCGCGGGAGAGCAGCGCGGCGCTGAAGACGGTGCCGCCGGAGTACCTGCCCATCGTCGGCGGCGGGTGGAAGAGCGCGTGGCGGCGGGAGACGGGGTCGCAGGCGAGGAAGGCGTCGCCGTGGTCGTCGTGGCGGCGGAGGAGGAGGAGGCCGAGGTGGGAGTCGAGGATGGTGAAGCGGGAGAGGTCGGGGACGAAGTCGAGGGAGAAGCGCGGCGAGGATGGCGTGAGGGGTTGGAAGGCGGGGACGTTGGGCGCCATGTTTAGGTCGCCGGGGCTGCCTCTGGGTGGCACCGGCCTCGGGTGGTGGAAGTGGCCGAGGAGGAGGGGGAGGGAGGCGGAAGCGGAGGAGTGGGAGAAGAGGCGGAGCGAGAGGCGCCGCCGGAATGCCAGCGCGGCGCCGCGGGTTGCTACCGTCGTCGCCATCGCCGGAGGAGGCGAGGCGAGGCGAGGAGGGGGTGGGGGATGGAGTTTTTGTCTTTGCTAGTACTAGTAGAAGTTTGCTTCTTCTTCTTCTCCTCTTGCGCGCGATCAGAGGAGAGGAAGGCTGCAATAGCACAGAGCATGGGGGGCATTGGAAAATGGCTAGGCGCACACGGACACGGCTGCAAGAAAATTCGTGGTAGTACAAGTTTAAAAATCTCTTTTGGATCAAAGTGTTTATGACATGGGAATTCAAACATGAGAACGGTGTAATTCTGAAGTTGCTTTTTTGTGTCACTAAGTTTCAAATTAATTGCTGATCTAGTTTTGTCGTAAGACAAACATTTTAATATTTAACCATAAATTTATATAAATTCATATACTCTAATAACATAGTATTTACATTTTGATTCACCATAAGTAATACTTTAATAACATATGATTTATATGTTGCTGTACTAATTTTTTAAAAAATACTAATAGTAAAAGTAGACATGCTGTTGAAGACAAACCTTGCAGCATCAGCCCGCCGGAACCGGCTCCTCTGACGTAGAGAATTCTACGTCAGAGGGACGTTCGACTCCCGATAGCCGTCGCTTGCGCATCCAACGGCTCTGGTCCGCGCGCGTGATGATAGCCTTCTCGTTCGGCCCATTCGCCGCCATCAGACTGCACCAGCACCGTCCGCCGGAGCCACAACAGCGTGACGGTGAGCTTGGGCACGCAGCTGAGCAACTGGACGCAGCCCTCCCACGCGCTTTCCTGATGGGCTCCGTCTTGGCCAGCAGGTCCCCTGACGACGCGGACGACGAGCACCTACGGTTCGGCAGCGCCGAGAGAAGCGCCAGGCGTAAGTGTCGCCCGATGAACACGATGATGTTACCTGCTGCCGAACAAGCAAAGGATGCGCGCCACGCTCGAGGAGTCTGTGTTCGCGCATGCCGCCGCAAGAGACCGCGTCAACGCCCTCCTCTGCCTGGGAAGCCCAGAATCGGAGAGATCGCCATCACCTTCAATTCCGCCGCCGCCGCCGCCATCGTCATCTTGGCCTCTCCATCGTCCTTGTCGATCGACATTTTCCTGGCGTTCTTCGTGTTCATACCCTTCCCATGGATTATTTCGTCCGGGGACACATTGATTGGCTCCTCCCATCTTCTCGCTGTCCTTTGACAGCCCCAATCGGTGACTTGGCTCACAAACTCTAAGATTGTTTGGAGGAAGAAGATGAACAGTGCACTCACAAGGTGTTCGACAGAGGGAGTTTTGGTGCTGCGTAAGTGTCATTGGCTCAGTGCAGCTTTTCGTTTTCTCATCCTTTTATTTGCAGAATATAAAGACTCACCATGCATCGCGGCTTGCTGGATGCCCGTCCTCACCTCGCTGCCATTGCCGCGAATGTGTTCCATCCCACACGAACTAAGCACGTCCGAAGGAATACGATGCCAACAAAAATTGAAACCTGATGCAATCTACTCTAGGATGCTGCTAAAAACAAGCACACACATGACCACCGTCGCTCCTCTTCCGCGCACTGCACGCCCGCGAACGGAGCTTAATTCTCGTCGGCCTACGCTAGGCATAGCTCGAGCGACGGCTCCGGCGGCTGGTGCTTCCCTTTGGCGTGAGCTCCCGGCTACGATTCTACGAATGGGCGCCGTGCGGAAAGGCTATACATCGGGCATTTAAGCCAAGGATGGAGGACGCGTGGACCGGAGCCGTTGGATGCGCAAGCGACGGCTATCGGGAGTCGAACGTCCCTCTGACGTAGAATTCTCTACGTCAGAGGAGCCGGTTCCCAGCCCGCCAGCAGCACAGCACAGCACAGCTCCCACTCCCACAGAGTTCGCCTGCTGCAGTCCTGTTCTCTTGCAGCATGGAGACGAGTCAAAACAAAAGAACTCCTGCTGCTCCTCAGCTTTTGTGTGGCAGACTACTAGCAGAGCAGGCCGTTCCAACTTCGTTCCCACTTCCATCGATACTAGGAGTACACAAGTTTTGCCCCAAATCATCAACAGCATTTGGGTTCCAAATTTGGGTTTGCAGAACATGTTTAGTTGATACTAGAGTGATAGCTATAGCTTCCAGCCTTTCGAAACCACGAGATACGGCTTGCCACAAAAATGATTGATTACCTAGAATATTAGCCAGAACATACGCAAAGTTAACAATGAATTTAAGCCTCTAACATGTGGAGCTATACGAGTGAAAAGTGTGGCTAACCATGATTGTAACATAAACCAAACAACTGTAGGTTTGAACTTTAAAACCTACAGTTCGGATACTGCTCTACATACAAGGCCTGTTTAGATAAAAAAAAAATTGGCCAAAAACATCACATTAAATATTTGACACATGTATGGGGCATTAAATGTTTGAAAAAAACCAATTGCATAGTTTGCATGTAAATTACGAGACAAATCATTTGAGCTTAATTACACCATGATTTGACAATGTGATGCTACAGTAAACATTTATTAATGACAGATTAGTTAGGGCTTAATAAATTCGTCTCACAGTTTACAGGCGGAATCTGTAATTTGTTTTGTTATTAGTCTACGTTTAATACTTTAAATGTGCGTCCGTATATTTCAAAAACTTTACCCAAAGAACTAAACACACCCTTGTGGTTTGCGATTTGCCGGATGCAGACGCAACAATTAGTGGCGAAACTAAAGCTGGAAAGATCCAATCAAGACCTGTTGTTTAAATGGAAGCTACAGAGTTTACCCCAGCAAATCCAACGTGCTCGACAAACTCGGTACAAATTTAAGCTATTTCCAGTTTCTACCATGGCACGGCAAACAAATATGAAATAAACCAAAGCATGCAGGAGATAATAATATCATATTCAAACCACGGCTCGCCAAAAACCAGCATAATGTGCAATGCCATCCCACTGTCTTAATCTCTTAATCTAGTTGAAGTATGCTTAAATGACAGCATAGAACTACTGGGAATTAGTTAGTCTCATGCAGAATAAGGTCCTCAAAAATTCCTCGCGTGCTCACTGCTCGGTAAGGACTCATGAGTGAATCAGGAATGGCATTGGTGACCCAGAAAAGGAAGGGAGTGAGTTGGCTGGTAACCTTGTCTCAGTAATCATCACCCTAAATCACAAGAATGACAAAATCATCAGTTCCAGAGCCAATGAATCAAAGATATTGCAATTGCATAACAAGAGATGGATAAATCAAAAGCATGTTGATCATCAGCACAAGTATAATTATTATGCTTACATATGAAGGTGTAACATGAGCCATTTCTTGATAGAAGTTCACAAGAAGGTAAAAGTTTAGGAGTGAAATGGATTGCATCAAGCAAAGCAAATTGCTAAATTCGACATCCCAGAACCCAAAAAAAAATACGTTTTTATAGTGACAGCCTACATTGTTTTCCACAATGAAGATTGAACATTGAACAATAGGTAAAACAACGATGAACCACTATACGAAAGTTTATGACAGCAATAATATCCTATTCTTCTATATTTATTATCTTCAAATTGACCGATTGAAAAAAAATACTAGACAGTGCTAGCAATAATCAATAAGCCTAATTAGTTTCAAAGACATATCTGATTCCTGTAATAATTGGTGCCACAATAATCAGCAAGTAGTAACATTTTAAGACTTGGTAGACCATTCTCTTTGTGACTTAAAAGACCTGCTAAACTAATTTGTTGTATGGGGCTCCACAAATGGGAGTAAAGCTGGAAAGAAAACAAAAAATATAAATATTCTTCATGGCCAACATACAAATATTGTAACCACATGCTTACTAACAGATTGAGTACAACACTCTGACATATTTCACACCTATGAAATACAGAATCACACATATTACTGCATTATGCAAGATCAAAACTATGGAAACAAAAGTACAGGTTGAACAATGCAATGCAATGCAATACAATAATTTATTACATTACATTTTGAATGCTTGATATATTTAAGCTCTCAGGTTATTTGGTATCAAGAGGAATCAGCTAAAGCAGCCCAGTACCAAACAACAAAGCCTATTTAACTGTACAAAACTCAACAATTTTCAAGAAACATAAGTCTAGTTTCAAAGATTGCTTGAGATATCTTACGACTTTCAACACTGTTACAATATTCGATCAATCGCTATAATGACCTTACAAATTTTAATACAGCTCTACATCTACTAAAGCTAATGCGCGTGCAACAGACTGTACTGCAGGCAACAAACCACATGAGCAAGCAATCCACTTAAGCATTGATCAAACAATTTGGCATAAACAAAAATGTTAAGAATGGTGAAGGAAAGGTGTTCCAAATTACCTCCAATTCTGGAGCGAGGAAGGCAGGAGGCCAGGCCACGTAGTAGGCGTAGATGGGGTGGCCATACTCCTTTCCATCTTCAGTAGCCAATCGGTCCAGCTTGCCGGTATCCATATGGAAGGAGTAGCGCCCATACCCCTGTGTCTTGATGAACAGCTTCCCGGTGCGCCCTGAGTCGATGTCGCTGAGCCAGATGGAGATGATACGGCTCATCATGTCCCTGGGCAACCCCGGGATGGTGTCGAGCACCTTGCGCATGTTCATCCTCTTCCTCAGAAACCAACCGTTGTCGCTCCCGCTGGCCTCCCCGCGCACCCAGAACTGCATCTCCTGGTCCTCCACGGTCGCCATGCCCAGCCGCCCGTCCTCCGGCGTCTCCCCGATTCGGAACTTCTTGTTGCTGTCCCCCAGCTCGGACGGCGCTAGCAGGTAGGAGAAGCTGAGCGTGGCAGGGTCGAGCTTGAGCAGGCGGCCGGAGTGGCAGATGTGCCAGTAGATGTCCCCCGCGGCGTGCACGCAGCGGCCCTCGAACCAGTAGGGGTCGAACGCGACCGTGACTCCGGTGTCCCGCGGGAGCGCCCTCCAGCTACACTCGCCGTCGCGGTAGGACGCGACCCAGGCGCGCGGGTGCTTGTCGTCGACGGTGAGGCAGACGGCGTCGAAGCAGAGCCTGCTCGGGTGCGCGCGCGAGAGCACGGCGGCGCCGACGATGTGCCGACGGCCACGCCAGCGGTCGCCCGGCAGCGCGTCGCGTGGGGGCTGCGGGAGCAGCGCGCGGCGGCGGGAGGCAGGGTCGAGGACGAGGATGCGGGGGAGGGTCCCGGACGGGAGCGAGGTCGGGAGGAGGAGCACGAGGCCGAGGTAGACGTCGTAGATGATGAAGCCCTTGGTCCCGCCGAGGTAGTCGAGGGAGAGGCGCGGGGAGGAGGAGGAGGAGGCGTCGACGGGGGAGACGGCGGCGGGGTGGAGGCGGCCCCTGGACGCCGAGAAGGGCAAGTGCACCGGCGGGGGCGTGTCGGCCGGGTGGAAGAAGTAGCCGAGGAGTGGGGGAGGCGCGCCCTTGGCGCAGCGTGCGGCAGCGCGGCGCCAGCGGTGGCAGGCGAGGGCGGCGCGGAGGAGGTCGGCGGGGGCGAGGCGGTGGAGGATGTTGCGGAGGGTGTCGTCGGTGAGGGCGGCGACCGTCGTCGTCGGCGCTTCCTCGGCCGGCGGCGGAGGAAGGAGGGTTTGGAGGGTTTCCGACGCCATTACTGGTGATGGTGGTGGGTGGGTGAGGAGGGGAAGAGTGGACAGCTGGAGCGGAACACGCTTCTCCTCCTTAAAAAAGGAAAATGTACAGTACTCCAGGAGCAGCAGTCATTTTTTGCTAGGATTTTTATTTCTTTTCTTTTAAAAAAGAAAAGTAAAATGGCTAGATGCACAACTAGACAGCGGCCAGGAGAGTCATCACTGTTTGACGACCAAAAAAAATGGTAAGGTCTATCTGAATCGCAGGGTTGTAAAAAAAATAGAGGAATAGGAAAAATACATGATTCTAGAATTAAAGTGTAAAACAGAGGATTGCAAAATATATGAATGATCGTTTGATTGGACCGCAGGAAAAAACATACGAATCGGATGAGAGATAGACTCAAATGAAATTTTCTAAGGGCCCTTTTGAATCACAGGATTGAGAAAACGTAGGAATAGGAAAAACGTAGGATTTTAATAGGAATATAAGCGTAAAACAGAGGATTGCAAAACACAGGAAAAACACATGAATGACCGTTTGATTGAACCGCAAGAAAAACGCAGGAATTTGATGAGAGAGATAGACTCAAAGGAAAGTTACCAAGAGGTTGAAGCTCTTGCTAAATTTCCTTCAAAATCTCTATAGGATTGTCCATTCCATAGGAATTTCAAAGGATTGGATAGGATTCCATCCTTTGTTTCAAAGGGCTTCATAGGAAATTTTCCTATAGGATTGAAATCCTCTAAAATTCCTATGTTTTTCCTCCAATTCAAAGGGGCCCTAAGAGGTTAGTGCTTTTACTAAGTTTCATGCAAAATTCACGTGCAATGTGTTATTCCATAGGAATTTCATAGGATTTGGAAAACTTCAATCCTTTGAGGGCCCCTTTGAATCGCAGGATTGAGAAAACAGAGGAATAGAAAAAACGTAGGAATTGAATGTCACACTTATTGGATTTCCTATGGGATTTTGAAACACAGGAAAGTCTTCATACTGTCGTTTGATTAGCACACAGGAAAAACGCAGGAACCCTAGACACATGAAGAGAAAAACATGAGGTAAGACCTCATGTTTATTTTCCTCCAAAATTGCTCTAGTAAGGTTCGTTCCATAGGAATTTCAAAGGAATTGATAGGAAACAATCTTTTGTTTCAAAGGACTCTATAGGATTATTTCCCATAGGATAAAATCCTCTAGAATTTCCTATGGTTTTTCTTTGAATCTAAGGGGGTCTGAATCTAAGGGCCAAATAGGAAATTTTCCTATAGGATTTGAATCCTATGAAATTTCTATATAAATCATTTGATTCAAAGGGGCCCTAACTGATTATACAACTAGGTTTCATACGAATGATCCATAGGTACCAAGAGGGCTAATGGCCTAATGTACACGTGAGCGGTTTAGGAGCAGGGTGAAGGTGAAGGGTTGGAAGGATGGTTTAGGGAGAGGGTTTGTCCTCTAACGTGGGTCGCTAACATATGGACCCACATGTTTGTAAGTTATAGGCAAAATTTGCTACAGGACACTCAAAGATTGTGGTCTTTGCTGTGAGACACCCGAAGATCGTGTATTTGCTCGTGGACACGGTAAAAAAGTGGTAATTAGCTGCTGGACACCCCTCCCATTATTTTATTATTTTCGATGAAAACGGAGAGAGAAACTTAGTTTAAAGACAAGTTTGCCCATGGGCCCACTTGTCAATCTCTCTTTCTCTGTTCTTCTTCGACAGCAACGCGAAGGTTTTGCTGGGGGGCGTGAGGCGCTCTACCTCGCTCTACTACGGCCTCCTCGACCGCTTCTGCGAGGCACGGTGGGGGCCGTTCGACGAGGACCAGCTGCAGCTGGCGGCGTCCATGGCAGGGAACACCACGGGCGACGGGACGGCTGTCCGCGCCGCGCCCGACTGCGGCTGCTGCGCCTCGCACGGCAGCGCCGTGCGCGTGTACAAATGAGTGATGGAGGAGCGGCGGCGACCTGCTCGTGTACAACTGCCTTCCCGGTGACCTGCGCCACCTCTTCTGCATCGCGCGTGTACAACTGGAGATGGCAGGCGCGAATCGGCCGTGTCTCGGGCAACAAGGGACATTCATTGAGTGTTCTTCTTCCTCCCCAATCTCTGCAACTGCACCATGATCCACTAGTAGTTATTCTTATCCAGATTCTTCTCTACATGAATGGCCATATCATGCATCATGTGATCGATCAGCAATGAGCAGCAAAGTGTGTATGAGGTTGGCTTTGCAGAGGTTGTCACGGTTTAAGGATGCAGGGTGCATCCTGTCACAATGATCATAAGACCTCAGTCAGCTATAGGTGGCATCGGCGTCTGGGACTGCACCACCGGCGAGTAGGCCGACTTCTTCTACGAGCCGCCGGGCTGTGCACTCGGCGACGCCGACAAGCTCCAATGGCTCGATGGCACGAGCACGCTCATGGCAGCGACCATGTTGCCACCACGGACAGACATGAGACACCTCCTTCATCATCCTGCTGGACTTCCGGGACAAGAAGAACGTGGCCTGGTCGTGGTCCGACGTCGGCACGCCGGCGTTGCTGGAGGACAAGAACGTGCTGCACGCCATCGCGATGGAGGACGGGCGGTGCGTGCGCCCCCTCTCCCCCGCTGCCGTGCCGCGCGCCGCTACTCTCCGCCGCCGACCTCGCCATCGCGTCGGCCATCTCTCTCCCTCTCTCCAGCGCCGCCGCCCCCTGCTCCTCTGCCGGCCGCCTCACGGAAGTCTGCCACCACGCCTGCTCGAGAGAGGAGAGAAAGAAGAGAAAAAGAAAGGATGTGGGGCCTACACCGCCCCGCCGCCGCCTCGCCATGGCTGAGCCGTCCAGGCTCGGGCCAGCCGCCGTCGCACACTCGCACCTCTGCTCTGCTGCAAGGAAGAAGAAGGGGAAAAAAAAGATAGAGAGAGGAAGAACAGTGTCCAGGGGTATTTTGGTACTTACACAACTCTTTCTCTCTCCATCTCGATCGAAAATAATAAAATAATGGGAGGAGTGTCCAGCAGCTAATTACCACTTTTTTACAGTGTCCACGAGCAAATACACGATCTTCGGGTGTCTCACAGCAAAGACCACAATCTTTGAGTGTCCTGTAGCAAATTTTGCCTAAGTTATATGATCTCTTTTCATAGTTTAAGACTTTGAGGTATGATCGAGAAGATGGTGGACAGGGGCGGACAGGGAGATGCCCCGGAGCATTGGGTCGAGGGAGGGCAATGAACGAGGTTAGCAGTGGGGGAAAAGTTTGCTAACCAATAGATTGGATAGGGTAGAGGTAGGTGGTGTCACAGGGTGCCAAAGGTGGAGGAAGAAGTGAGAATTAAGGAGAAGACAGCAAACCAGTAAGGAACTAACCTAATACTCCCTCCATCCCAAAATATAAATATTTTTGGACTTCGGTACAGTCTCTGAGATGCCACTTTGACTAATAATATCTATAAAAATAAAATGTTTTAAATAAAAAGAGTTGCATATTATGACAGTTTGCTTAATGCTAAATTTAATAACATCAATTTTACATGATTGATTTTTTTTTGGCTATTAATAGTCAAAGTTAAAAATGGTTGACTTGGCACTATACTAACAATGCTTATATTTTGGAACGGAGGGAGTAATTGGCAAATAAGATCGTTGTGGGGCTCTCAAGTTTACCAACACTGAAGGAGTTGTCGTGCTACTCTCATGCATGAAGGACAGAGGATTAGAAGATAAAAGGAGAGAAATAAGCGATGCATGGGTTGTGCTTATAGGAATTCAGAGGTTGCGGAAGCTAGATGGAGGAACGTCGGATGGCATGGTTATTGCCTGTTGATTTCTTGCCTTGAATCGGCAGATGAGATTGCAGCACTGGCTCTCCTAATACATCGGTAACAACCTATTCTATCTATAGCCGACGCATGCTTATCTCTATCCATATAGATTACATCCAATAACAGAATATCTAACACTCCCCCTCAATCTGATCTTACTAGATTAAGATTGTTCTTAAACATTTCAAACGGTCTTACCGCAAGAGCCTTGGTGAAACCATCAGCTATTTGATCTTTAGTTGAGATGTACTCAATCTCTAGTAGCTTCCTTGCTACCCTTTCTCTAACAAAATGATAATCAACTTCTATATGCTTTGTGCTTACATGAACCACTAGATTTGATGACATATACTTTGCTCCAATATTATCGCACAAAATCTTGGCTGCTGCAGGGGCTTGTATCTCTGACTCTTTTAACAAAGTCTATATCCACATGATATCAGCTGTTGTATTAGCTAAGGCCTTGTATTCAGCTTCTGTACTAGAACGAGACACGGTTGCTTGTTTCCTAGCACTCCAGGACACAAGGTTGGATCACAAAAATACTGCAAATCCTCATGTAGACCACCTGTCATCTAGACTGCCAGCCCAATCTGCATATGAAAAACCACTCACAAGAAGAGATGAAGATTTGCATATTTTTAGTCCCAATTTAACAGTATGTTTAAGATATCTCAGAATCATTTTTACAGTAGCCCAATGTTCTGTTGTTGGAGAATGCAGAAACTGACACACCTTATTCACTGGGAAAGAAATATCAGGTCTTGTCAGTGTTAAATACTGTAAAGCCCCAACAACACTTCTATGTTGTGTGGCATCATTTGGTCCTAATAGACTTCCCTCATTTACTGACAATTTTTCAGAGGTAGATAATGGAGTAGTAACTGGTTTACAATCATTCATTCCTACCTTGCGAATCACATATGTTGCATACTTTTCTTGACTTAACAGAATGCCATTAGTCATCTTCTTTACCTCAATACCAAGAAAATAGTGGAGCTCACCTAAATCCTTCAGAGCAAACTCCTTTCCAAGATCCTGTAGCAAGGCTGGAACCGCACTAGGCACATAACTGGCTACAATAATGTCATCAACATGAATAAGCAGAAACATTGTAACTCCTCCTTTACTATAGAAAAATAGAGATGTATCTGCCTTTGAGGCTTTGAAACCTAACTCCTGTAATTTAGTACTTAACCTTGAGTACCATGCTCTAGGAGCCTGTTTCAACCCATACAAAGCCTTATCTAAC